ATCTCTGTAATCATTCTCGATAGACCCCAATTATGATACATCGATGAAATCAGCTCTTCAGGGAAAATCTTAAAATGCGATAAAATACAGGGTGTTCCGTTCGAAATATCAATGTTTCTACTACTTTCTAGTAGAAGCGGCAACACCGCATTGTATGAAGAGCGTATACCAAAATATAAGCATGCACATTTCCATGGATTTCTCCCGTCTGATTCTAGATTTAAAGATAGTGTAAGCTCGTCGTGACATACCCTGTATAGGCTATAATGAAGTTAAATGAATACAGAGAAATATTAGGAGAAATTGAGAGAATGTATCTGCACTCACCAGCGTGAAAAAAATGAGGCTATGATGAAACAACACGAAACACTAGCACAACACGCACGATCCCGATATTATTATTATTGAATCGAATGAGGAATACAAAAACACTATATATACGAATCAAATACGATCACTCAGTTTTTAGGGAACACTCAGTTTGGAACGATAAATAATTCCTTTCGCGTATTTTTCGATGTCGATCACAAAATTCGACCGTACCTATGTGATGACATCCAATATAAGACTGTCTTGATTTACCACCTGGTCCCGAATGAATGACGAATAAGTTGAATCATGCTAACCGATTAATTTCCGAACAAAAAATGATTCATCTATGACTAAAAGGATGATAATAAAATAGAACGGGGGGGACGAGAGATATTTTGTATACAGGTGCTATTTTTTTTCGAAAATCACTAACGATATGGAAGAATTTTACATAGGGTGAAATAGTTATTTGTATTACTAATCTCTATGACTAATGATGATGAAATTATACGGGGGGGGGGGGGGGAAGATATATAATATACAAAATATAAGATGAAGTATTGAACACGGATATATACTCTGACAGTATTATTTTCGAAAGTCTAATGATTGAACACGACGCTGAAAATATTATCTTTCCCAAAATCTCTAGATATGTTTTGATAACTGGAAAGAGTAGGAAAATAATGAACTTGAATTTGACATTTGTGTGTGTGAAAATGTAATGAACAAAAAAAAACTAAAATAATTGACATACAAAGTATGTCACGACAAGCTTACACTAATTCTATTTTGAGAATCAGTCAGGAGAAATACAAAAAAATATGCGCTTATATTTTAGAATACGCGCTCTCTTCATTTAAAATAATTTCAGCAATGCAGTGTTGCCGTTTCTATAAAAAAGTAGCAGCAACTTTGTTATATCAAATAGAATACCCTGATGTATTTCATTGCATTTTTAGATTCTCCCTGGAGAGCTGATTTCATCAATACATCAAACTTGGGGTCTATCGGGATTGATTACAAAGATATAGGGTGTTCAAAATCGAGATTTTTCAACTTCAGGATTTTGTTTGTGCCGAAACTATTCATTATCGCCCAAAACGGCTCACATGTCCTTATCTCAACTTTGCATTCACTATTTACTTATATTCAATCGGAACAGATACAGGGTGATCAGAATTCTGAATCTTGAACCAGTCAAAACACCCCAACCCCTTACCCCTCGCCAGTCATCAATGTTACTTTACTTTGTAAACCGATATTTCAATTCAAGTAAAATGGTGATTCAGATATATGATTATTACAGACTAGTTCAAAAAGTTTAGACGGCCCCCATGCTAAACCTATTACACTTTGATGATGTTAGAAATTATATACCTACCCGAGTAGAAGTTATTACGCAAAAACCCTGACAGCGAATTAATTATGTTCATCTATGGAGTATACATATATCATTGTAGGTACCCCAATAATTTTCTCACAATATGTAATTGATTATCCTAGTTTGACATACCTACTCAGTCAGTTTCATTTTAGACCGATTCCAAATTCGCAAAAAATAGTGTTCCCTAGTAGAACGTCCTGATTTTCATTAAAATTGAATTTCTTTACAACATCGTGAATCGATCGATACTGGTTCCTTCTAATGAATTTATTTTTTCACTGAAAGTTGGGTAGTTCATCAGGGATCAATTCGTCTCGATTGAATGTGCTTCTAATTTTTAAGCTATAACCTTTCAATTACACCGCACCGATATGAAATGATGTGATATCTCAACCTCCTAGTGTGACGTCAGCATTGAGGTAGAGGGGATAGACTACGGTCCGGTGAGATACTACTTCTACATATTATGGAAAGATCTACAAACAAAATCTGTGTTATTATTATTTATTACATTTTCTATACAAAGCTCAGTACAGTATAAAATTAAAAATAGGCCTCACTATTAGATTGCCCCTCCCCCCCACATAATTATCAAAAAATATTGGACGTGATTTGAAAAGCTGCATGGTGCATTGCTCATTTTATTATGTCTACACAGCATGTTTTCAGTGATCGCAGATATTTGGAATGGATAGATATAATCCGCCATAATTTGAAATTTACTCAAAAATTGACTGGCAGATAAACAAAAAAAAATCAATATTAAAAACGATTGAAAAGGGATATTTTCAGATAAGTATATTATTAATATGAAAAAAAAAAGGATACATATAAAGAGAGATAGAGAATTTGTATTCTCAATATCTGATAAAAATATTAATTCTTTCTAAGTATATTCAAAATGATGTCGAATGGACTGACGACTTCTGAAAGAATGTTTCATGAAGATCTACAGATTATAAAAAAAAATTGAAATAAAAAAAAATCCGGGAAAAAATATTGCTAAACTACAGGAATTAAAAAATGCATAACAGATTCAAGCAAAGACACCAATGGAAATTGGGCATTGAGGCCAGTATTTTTTATCAACTTCTCAATAATAAAAGATCAATATACTTATACTATAGGTAAGTATGCAGTTGATAAGTTGTGAGGGAAGTAGACTGCCTAGGTTCAAAATTATGAAAACAGAATCTATTAACCTGGAAAGAATTATCATCAACCATGTTGTGTTACAAAATTCTAGTAGGTCTCACAACTCTCAAATATGATCCACAAATTGTCTCTATTCACTTTGTATGATAAAATGGTCGAATGGTCTATCATTTTGATTGAACATTATGAAAAACAGAGTGGCGGAAATTTGATCAAAAGACAAATGATCGAAAAACATTTGATAGAAGCCTTTTGATCGAAAGTGTTTTTGATAGAAATGCATTTGATCGAATGTTTTTTGATAGAAAATACATTTGATAGAAACATAAATGATAGAAAATACAATTGATAGGAAAAATATTTGATAGAAAATACACTTGATAGAAAATTCAACGGTGCTACGCTCAAGTTAGGTCAGTATGTTTGTGAAGATATGATCCTTCTTCATATATTTGAGAAGAAGGAGCTAGATGGAAATTGAAGCTTATGAATTTATTGATACCACAAACTTCTAGCTCTTTCTTCTCGAATATATGAGGAAGGATCATATCTTCACAAACGAACTGACCTAACTTGAGCGTAGCCCGTTGAATTTTTTATCAAATGCTGTTTCTATGAAGTGTATTTTTTATCAAATATTTTCTCTATCAATAGGTCTTTTCATCTAGATATATTTTTAAGACGCATGCGCTCGTTTTTAGATCCAACAATTCATTGGGTAATGAGAAGGTGAAGTCTCATTGGCTATAGTTCCAACACAAAATGCTGATTGGCCATTTCGAATATGGCGGGTATTATTGACGTTCTGTCAAATGTCTACAGTGTCAACCACCATGGGCATTCGTCATTGAGGAACAACAATAACATAGTATTCTTGTTTTTATATTCCTGGTGTGTAAGTGTTTCGGTGAAAATGGCCGCCACTGTCGTTGGATGCGAGATGTAAACAGAGAGTCATTTGTCATCTAAATGAAAAGACCTATTGTATCTTCTATCATTTATGTTTCTATCAAATGTATTTTCTATCATAAAAAATTCAATTAAACGTATTTTCCGTGAAAAGTTCTTTCTATTTTTTGATTTTGATCAAAAGAATTCTTTCAAATGTTTTTTTATCATTTGTCTTCGGATCAAATTTCCGCCACCCATGAAAAACAACTCCAAAATTAATAACATGGTGAAGTAATACAAAATGTGTTCCTGGTATAAATAGAAATTATTTGAATATTTTTGTATTTGCATGAAAAACAATAATTTAGTCACCACAAATATACTAGAAATTATGGCACTTGTTTTGTGCAAATTTCTTACACCCATTTCAATTTACAAGAGATTATTTTTCTCACAGACTGAGGTGCAATGATTCTGACAAGAAAATTATTGCTCAATGTCTTGGCTGAGCAACAATGAAATTATTCCTGATACATGTACCAGGTGGCCCATAACATCACAATACATATTTTCGAATTTTGCAATGTTTCTGACTAGATAATTATGTTTTTTCACTTTCAAACATACAAAAAGGTCATGAACTTTCATTATTCATATTATAATCTTGGAAATTATTGCATTATCAGTTTTTGAGGGATTTTGATTTTTGCATGTTCCTTCATCTCATTTAATATTTCATCAAATCCATTGAAACATATACAGTTATATTATGGGCTTTACAATGCAATTGAAAAATATAATGATTAGGTAAATTGCCCAATCTCATCAAAGTAGAACATATTATATAGTGTATAAAATAAATCATTCATATATCATATCAATGCAAGACAAAGGATTAATCAAATATATGTAATTATAATACAAAAAATAAATTTTTGTAAAATATAAAAATACATCTATTAAAAAGCACAATCAGATAGTTTACACAAAATAATAACAGCATACAGAATTTAAAAATATCAAAATTTGTCCACTTAAAAAGCTCACTAAATAGCCTACACAAAATAGTAGATCTTTAATAAAAAATATCCAATAAAGGAATACTTTGGTAAATCTATTGAAGCACCAAAAAATAAAGAGATAATTTTCAGTCACCACAATTTGTTTTGATTTTCAATGCACAATACTTTTCCTGACATGGAAAACTATCTCTTCACAAATCTTTGGCATTCCCTGGGGAAATAAACTCCAAAAATCATGACAGGATAGCTATACTCCTCCTAGCTGTTTGTCCATTTGTAACATTATCTAAACTTGACCACTTTTTCAGACCTTTTTTGATGGCTTCCTGTGTATACTTGTCTGCCATGACCCTGGACATAGCCTCTAGCTTGAGAGCCCTTTCTATGCTCAGTGGCTCACTTGGAAAAGTCAGATCATTAGCTTCAGCCAAAGTGCGTAGGTCAAAATAATATTTTGCATAGACACTTGAAGGAACATTGATGTTGAACTGTAGCAGCTCGAGAAACTGCCTTTCCAATTCATTCATGTCTTCCACAGTTATGTCTTTGAGGATTTGGCAGTAGTCAACATTCCAGACTGCTTGATCATCCCATACTTTGGAAGCCAGTAGGATTGCACCTGAAACCAAATGGAAATCTATAGAAACATATACTCTTTAAGTTTTTTCCACAGATTAAATCAATTTCAATAATGTTGACATACTTACAGGCAAATTATAAAGTTACAATTCAGTTAATTTATCTACATAGGAATTTATTTATCCTCATTGAGATTCAAAACATCTTATAGGAATCACAGTCTAGAAAGTGATTTAGGGTGGCTTGATAGAACTTTATAAATAAATAGATGAATTATTAGATCATGGAGTGTGGAGAAGAAAATACTGAAAATTTTAAAATATCCTGGAGTTTTAATCAACTTTGTAACTTAGTGAATGTTAACATTTTCTGATTAACATAATTGGCAAAAATGTGTTTGCCTTGGATGAGGTGGCTCTAGGTCAAGTCTGAGATTAACAATATTCTAATTATAATTGATTTTCTTGTAATTTGGTTGTGGATTCCAAGAAAAGAAAGTCAATTAACTATTCTGAAATACAAGTGACTATTCTGAAATACAATTCAAAAGGTTAGTGATAATAAATTATGTTTTAGAAATTCTCATGATCTCAATTAGTACAGAAACTCAAGTGAATGAAATCAGTTGAAGAACTTAATTGATTATCTTACAGGCTCCAACACTGAATATGGTGTTTTTCAGCAGGAGCTTCAGCCTCTACCTATCATACAAATAATTATTCATTTCCTACCAATTGATAAACATCTACTTATGTTGTTATTAGTGAGGTTATATTGAATTGAATGAGACTCTTGAACTGTGAATAGTAAAAAAATAATCATGTGATTGTGGCAAGAAGTTTCTGATTATTGACTAGGACTTCCACCACTTAATGTTAAGAAGTTACTTTCTGGAAACTTGTGTCCTGGGGTCACTGTTGTGTTTTTATATAACCCAAATGTTACTGTATAATTTGGAGGTTGTTTTGGTAAATACCAGTAAATAAAAAACTTTTAGGAAAATTTACTATCTCTCAAAAATATGGTATTTGATGTTAGTTGATATGGAAGATCATTTGGTGAACTATGTATCAATATTTGAAATGAGATTCTTAGGATTATTACTTACCCAGAACTATTCTTTTCCAATTGGAAGGTTGGATATCTAATTCAGCATAAGTCAGAAGTCTCTCTAGATATACTAAAGTAATAATGGCACATTCAGCAGTCAACTGTGCAGCATTGAACAAAGTCCTCACAAATTTATAAATCTGTTTATGTTCAGGATAATATTTGTCATAATCATCACTAACACCATCTCTAGTTAAGGGATGTAGCTTTTCATCAAATATGTCAATTTCTCTCTGAGAATCACGGTTTTTGATGTGATAATAAATACCTAGAGCAACACATTTAACTGTGTTTTTAAGATTAGGCTGAGAGACAGTGCTATCATCTAAGTAGATAGTGGAACAAGAACTGCTTTTCTTCAGAGGTCTTAAGTCAGCTATTTGATGTTGGCTCTTTCTTCTGATCATCCCATTTTCTATAGCTGTTTTAGATCTCTCAATGAATATGGTCTTTGCCATGGGATCTTGTGATGGATCTGCTTCCCCATCATCACCTTCACGTTCACTAATATGTTGGAGATTGCTTTGACTTATTTCACCTTCATGAAGGGTTTCCTCAATTGGTATAATCACTCTTTCCCTATGACTACTCTGAGGGCTCGAGTAGGAGCAACAACTGGTTTTATTCCCCATATTCCCAAGTATTCAATGGAATCAAGTATTGTTCCTACAAGATAATAGTTTGTTGGTTTTGAGTGTTGATATTTCACACATTTTTCTCGGGTGACTGGAGTAGATTCAATATTGAAACTTCAATTAACCACATATAATATACATCATCTTATCAGAAATTATATGTCCACAGTGATAAAATGATAATTTGATAAGAAAACACCGCACACCACACTGTGCACACCCACTCTCAAACACTTTTCAGCCAGCGAACATTATTCTGTGATATGTACGGAGATCGTTCACAATATCTAATGAACGGTACATAAGTGGATAAAATCGACAATGCCGACATTGTTCTCATAAAGAATAGGATAAAACTATTGAAAAAGTGCCATAAATAAATTGAGAATTGAGATTGATGAAGAATGGTGAATGTCATTATTGTCATTGTCGGTCGCTGTCACAGATGATATGTTCGATTCGTTAGATCGTTTCAGGTGCAGGTCAAGTACAGGTGCATGTGCTGGTGTTCCCTTGGTGTTCTCCTTTTTGCTTTTGAAAACTTAGCGAATATATTTATGAAGTCTGACCATCGGTTTGACCAACCAGCTGTTTGGGACTATTGGTCACGTTTCAAACCTGCCCACAAAGTTATCACGTTAACTTTTGATGGGAGTCGAGTCGAGTCAACTGGAGTCAATCATTGGCCATCCTGGCCATAAATTAAAGAAGTAATAGAAAAACCAATCAACTTACCCACTCTAACCTTTAACAATTATTAGATCATGTGATTTCGATTTCGTATTCCATTGGGAATGAACCAGTTCACATAATTCCTACTTTAACCAGGTTCAACCAATGACGGCTAAATATCTAGACTGCCTGACGGGTTAAACGAATAGAATTCGTTATGAGTGTACACCGGCAGCTTTGACATATATGCCAAATATTGCTCAATGTCACTGTCAATACTGGCACTAGTGGCACTGGCCTTGTTGTGAAATGGCGGATAGCATTGTATTTGTCAAGATAATTTGTGTGAAAAATTGAACACAATCTCGGCTTAAATGTCTCGTTATTGTATAAAACGTAATACATCGATTTTATCGACGTGTAAACTGAATAAAAGCCAATTTAACATGGGGTGAATTATTGACGTCTGTGCTAATCTTTGTTGTGTGTAATTTTTTTTAAAAAACACTCGAAAACGGGTTAATGTGCTCGAATTATTTACGTAATGGAAATAGACGTTACCCCAGATACTATTTCTGAGAAAAATTCAAGCAACTCGAGTCATGGAGATGATGAAAAAGATGATAACCCCAGTGCCACTATCCAAAATGTAAGCAATACAAATCTCAGTACCTCAAATAGCAACAAGGACTACCAAGAGCATGAAAGAACAAACACTAAAAAGCAAAAAACAATCAAACATGCACTTCGACATCAAGCTAAAAGAAGAAGAAAGAACACAACTATTGCCTCTAACACCAATTCCCTACCCAGGATAATAGTAAAGCCTTTGCCCACTCAAACAGTTGAAGAAACCACTCTTAATATAGTACCAACACCAACAAGTAGAACTCCAACTATGAGAGAGGTCCTAGCTTCAATTCCAGGATTCAATATGAAACCCAGAAAACGTACTACTAAAAAACTTTCCACAGCAGCACAGCTTGAGCAAACCAAAGCAGGTTGTATAGATTTAGAAACACCAGACTCCATTTTGGTCAACACCAATTTAAGACACTTGCTGAACAAGGCCACATTTGCTGCACTACCATTACTCTACCAAAACAAGTTGGTACAATTATTGCCCAGTGTTGACAGGAACATAGTTGCCAGCTCCTCAGACCCTAGCTCCATTGAGATAAATTCTGGTTTTCACAATGAATTTTTTGCAAGGGCTTGCCTTGAATGGCAAGATAGACTTGCTGAAGGAGAATTCACCCCTGAAAACCAACAGAAACTCAAACTGGAAGCTGACAAGGAAAGGAATAAAGTTGACCCTTGGAAGCTGAAGCACTTTGAGCCTATCTGGGGAGACAGATCTGAACCAACTACTTCAACCTCAATCAATGTACATAGTACCTCTGAGAGTTCTAGGCCTCCTATCAAAACTACCATCAAGTTGAGACCTTCTACTACTAACATGACAAAGCAAAGCAAAACTACTGCCCCACCTCCTATGAAAAGGTTACGTACTGTAGGTGCTATGACTAGATCATGTACCAGTATGAAGTCAGAGTTGACAACACTTGTTGAGAATAAGATACCTATTCCTGACTTGTTGCCAATTAAACAATTACAAAAGGAAGAAGTCCCACTCAAGTCTGAATGTAGTGTTAGCATAGTTATAGAAACTCCAGTTAATGATAATTTAGTACAGCTGCAAGAAAAATGTATTGTTAATATTAGTGATACTATATTAGAGAACAATGAAGAGACAATCATTATTTGTTCCTCAAAACGACCAAGGTCACCTAGCATAGAATCTGAACAAAACTCCCCTAAGCGTAAGACTCCTAGTCCCCTGTCAGAAAGTCTCTTGCCCACCTCCATACCAATGGACACCAGTGAACCAGAAAAAGATGTAATACTGGAAGAGCTTCAGGAAGTGGCTAGTGAGGCCCCCAGTGATGATGATAAAGCAAGTGAAACAATGTCTGAAACGGCTGTGATTGAAGAAGTTAATATGTATGACTATGAAAAAGACAAAATCTTGGATGAGAACAGCAGTAGTTTGAGCAGCATTGCCATCCACCACATGGAAGAGAACTCTAGCAATGAAACTATTGAGACAGTGGATTCCCTACAGCTGCATGTTGACTACAAAGAAGATACCAACCAGACTGATGAAACCTCATCTACTACCACCACCACCACTGATGTGAAATCTGAGCAGGAAGATCAAGAAGAGCAAGAAGAGACAATGACTTCAACCCCTGACATGTCTGATTTGGCTCCCATGGAGACTGATCCTCTTCAAATTACTGAGCATGATACTGAAAATAGTGAATCTAATCCAGAAGAAAAAGAATCATATACCCTGGCAGTAGAAGAAATAGATGAGCAAGAAATGCATGGTATTCTGGAAAATGAAAATGCAGAAGTGAATAGTGAAATACCAGAACAACCTGTTGAACTGGGGGAGGAATCTATAGTAGAAGACACCTTTCAGATTTTACCAAATACATTGATTCTTCAAGAACAATCCATTGTCATCAATAAGCCTTCTTGCTCTGAGGAATGTGGCAATGATAATTATATAGCAGTGACAGCAGAAAAACTGGCAAGTGTCGAAGAATGTGATTTGGTGCTGGCACAACTTTCAGAGACAAACTTCAATGTTAGAAGTATTCCAGATGAAGATGATAGGTTCATTGATGCTGAGAACTATGTTCTGGAGTCTGGACAAATAAGCATTGCCAATGCAGATGAGGAAGAAAAAGAAAGGGATGCAGTGGATATTCAGGCTACTCTGTTTGGTGAAAATGAACAAGGAGGTGAGAATACAAATTATATATTTTTTGATTTGATAAATTACCAGTTGAAACAAAAACTCAGCTGAAAAGCTTCATACTATTGAAGAAGGATAGTTTGAACCTATAAAAATATTAATATCTGCATTTCAATTTGTTTAGTCTAGTTCAGACTGCACAGCTGATATTAAGCTCACTGTTTATCTTGTATTGATAGTATTTCCAATTGTTTATCAGAACTAACTAGAATTATGTCAACAAAAAGTTATCAAGCCCAACCAGAGTTTCATATACATATTTTCATGTAGGTATCTGTTTTTTTTAAATGATCATGAGGGGTAAACCAATATGAAAGTTGTGCTTGAATTAATTAAAAAATACTTTCTTATTCTCTGGTTTGAAATTACAAATTGAATTTTGGTTTGGATAAATCAACCTCAAAAAGTACAATGTTTTACTCCCAGGAGATTCATGGAATTATTAGACATGTTTTTGCATTTCCTAGAATTCCTTGAAAACCCTTGTGAAGTTGAAATTTGGGGTATAATCTAATTTGACATGATGTCTATTTGTGGTTGGTAAAATGTAGTGAAATTGTGCAGCTATTGAAACTTTTTTTAGAATATTAAGAAATGTCTTAGAATTCCAAGTAGAATTCCATGAAGTTGAGATTTGATTTGTACATATACTATTTTGATCATGGTTTACTGAGGGTTATCCTTTGGTTGAACTAATGTGGAATTCTGGTGTAGACAGTAGGTACTAAACATTTGGAATTGTTTTTGATTCATGAAAATGTCTTGAAATTCTCTGAAGTTTCTCAGTAAACTCATGAAGGAATATTTCTAAAAATATCTTATTTGGATTGTTGGAGTTTTTTTTAATTCAAGCTGGTTTGTATTCCAGTTTAATCAAATCTTTAAAAAGTAATCACTCACAATTTTGAAATAGAGAATAAAAATTTCATGGTTTCAAACACTAATAATTCAAATTATTACAACCTGTATACAATATACAGTCAATAAAAACTAAGACCTCCCAAACAGATACTGTTCACTCATATCATGTTACAGACTATACATTTTTCACCACAATTTATCACACCTATTACCACATGCTTTGTTTTGAATCCTAAATGACCAAACTTTTCCTTAACAGCTACAGAAGAATGTTGCTGGGGCATGGTGGATTCCAGTACAGAAAAACTACTTCAGATACCCTCAGTCCATGCTCTAGATAACACTGTTCCCACTCCTGTTGAAATTGTTGGTACAGACAAAATAAAAGAACATGTGCAAATGATACCAATTCAGGAAGAACATGTGCAGATGATACCAATGCAAGAAGATCATGTTCAAGTGATGCCAATGCAAGAAAATCATGTTCAGGTATCAATGCAAGAAAATCACATTCAGGTGGTACCAATGCAGGAAAATCACATTCAAGTAATACCAATGCAAGAAGAACATGTTCAAGTTATGCCAATACAACAAGAACATGTTCAAGTGATGCCTGAGGTGATGCCAATACAACAAGAACATGTTCAAGTGATGCCAATGCTAGAAGAACATTCACAAGTGATACCAATGCAAGAAGATCATGCTCAAGTGATGTCAATGCAAGATGATCATGCTCAAGTGATGCCAATGCAAGATGATCATGTTCATGTGATGCCAATGCAAGATGATCATGTTCAAGTCATGCCAATGCAAGATGATCATGTTCAAGTGATACCAATGCCAGATGATCATGTTCAAGTGATACCAATGCAAGAGGAGCTAGAGGTTAAGCTAGAAAGAGGCACATTTCCTGTAGTGATGAATGATTGGCCTTATGATGTCAATATAGATTCTGACATGGTGGCAGCAGCTCTGGGGAACACAGAGGGCCACAACAGTACCAAAGAAATGGAAAAAGCCAATGGCGGTTTTTCGGAATTTGCGGGTAGCGGTAATCAGGTGAAACTGGAACTGGAAGTGACTTTGACACCGGAAATATTGAGCTCTGATAGTATGATAACAAGTACTGTGAGTACTAGCGGCGGTGGAGCCAATTTGATGGGTACTCTGGCTGTGAGTAAGGCGCCTACCAAGACTGTAATACCGCCTACTACAATTGTTTGTTTGCCATCTACTGTCACAACTGCTGCAATGATGAACTCTGTAGTGAATGAGGTGAGTAATTATGATTTGTACATTTTTGCCATGATATTCCAAATGAAAAACTGAAAAACCTTATTGACTTGAAAAAAAATGAAAGTTTTATTTGTTCTGATTAGAAAAACATGCATTTTTTCTATGCTAAGAACAATGAGAGCAAGTTGAAGAGTGTTAATAATAATGATAATTATAATAGCAATAACAATAATAAAAACAGTTGTATATACATAATATACATAGTATAGTACAGTAAGTAGAGTAAAGTAAAATTTATTGATTTTCAAAGACCACTGTAAGTGATATATACAGGTTAAGTAGTACAAGGATTGCACATGATGAAGACATAGGAATTAGAATACCCATGACTTATATGTAATAATATAAATGAACAACATGAAAAGGATTGAGGATGAAAGTGTTGGTTTTTATTTATTCATTTACCTAGAATCATTACCTAGAATTTTTTCAATTCTGTTCAGAATTTATGATAGGGATGAGTTTTCATTTGTCCAAATCATTATAATATTTTATACCTTTAAAATGGATGGAGTTCATTCCATGTTTGGATCTGATGGATGGGATGTAAATATATTGATCCTGTGTTTTCTTTTATTTAATATCACATGATTGAAGATGCTGGTTTCAAAGTAGTAGATATTTTCTACTGAGAGAACCTCTTGGAGAGTAAAGTTCAGTGGTTGGAGTTAGAAGAGGTAGGGTAGATATTTTTTATGGCCCTGTTTTGTAAAATTTTCAAGGGATTCAATATTCCACTTCCAGTAGAACCCCATATTGATGCTAGATATTGTATTCTAGAATAGATATGGATTAACAATCTTACTTTCTGATATATCAAATATTAATCAGAAATATCCTGGATGGGTTATAGAATCAATACATTTTTAATATTACAGGGATTTCCTTTTGTGTGTCCCAAGAGATAAAAGAAATAATAATGAAAAAATTCATAAATATAATAGGATAATAAAATGAAATATATTTTCATCAGAAACTTATTGAGCACTGTGGCCAGTAGATTTTGGATGACACTGGAACTCTTTTACAAGCTCTTTTATTCCCTTTTTCAAATCTCCATATAAACTCATTGAAATATGCTTTTTTTGCCGATATAGCATCACTACAACAGCACTAAACATCAGTATGAGCTGATAACTTATATGGGTATCAATATCACATCTACAATTTTGTCAATATGTTACTATTGATTTCAAATTCCTTGTCCAGTTTAGAATATATTGACATATTGATATGATTCTGATGGTTTTGAGCTTTATGGGCATATTCTTGTTCATATTCCTTTTCCAAAGACATATCACATGACATTGACATTCTTATCTCTTTGTTGTAATTACCTGATTCCCTTATAATTTATGAACAAAACAAATGAAAGTCTCTCTGCTGAAATTTTGTATTCACTTGCATTATTTTTCAATTAAAATTTTCATTGGACAATGAGGTGAACTCAGTTTACGAAAATTGGAGCTATACCTGACCCTGTGTAATATAAAAAGGATTATGATAATAAGTGGTTCCATTTCATCTATTGAAATATGGGTTTCTAAGAATGATAAGATATTGTATTCATCCTCATACCTGTTCCATCCTTTATAATAGTAATTCTAAACTGTTCATGGCTCCTTTATGATAATTTAATAGCAAGATACTCTAAGCTCCCAAATTTGAGATAATTCCAACATGATGGCTAATAGATTAGCAGGCCAATTTGTGTTTCTAACAGATGAACATAGCACAGTTTGTGATGTGATGTTGTCTTGAATTTTTTGAAGCTGGCATCTTGATTGAAAGACAAATATTTTGTGTGTGTGAAGTGCCAACTTGTTTTATATTGTCAGAACTGTGGTGTGGTCAATTTTTAATCTAATTTTTCCCTTTGATTATCTGATCATGATGTGCGATAACACCTTAATATACACGATTCCTCTTCAGTACAACTTTGTGGAAGTAGGTACAATTTGAATCACATGCACCCAATTGATTAGAACATTTCTCAAATGCCTTACTATAAACATATCTCTCAAAGCTGCTGTTTCATTACAAAGGAGACACATGTCCGGAAAATAATATCAGGAGACAAGATTTTGCCTCCTTATATCATTTTCCGGAAATTGGGGTGGTTTCATGACTGTTGGCGAGCAGTGTATATCACTGAAGATGACCCCACTTGGTCATAGAGTGCGGTTTTAGTAAATATCTCGCTCCAGCAAATATCAGGATCCTTACCCAACGAATACGTGAGATACAGGGGTGTTTCCATTAGAAGTGAGACACACTGTATTTGTTTTTTTTTTTGTTTTTTTCCTCAGACATCATGATTTATATTATTGAATATTCTCATGCTGAAAATTGGTACAAATATATTTGCAGTTTGATGAAATTCACAATATAGTCCAATAAATAAAGGGAAAAAGTTAACATTAATTACGCACTATTTTCATCTTCCGGTTGGAAGTAGCTTTTGGTACCTCATTAAACATGAGACAAAGTTTGACTGGAAAACGCGTGCTATGGCGGAGAAAATGGCCCCAAAAGACCAGAAAAATAGGTTTTCAGCCAATATCTCCTAAAATATGGCAGTTAGAGATTTTTGTGCAGATCAAAATTGAAGTTCAGTTAATTTTCTACAAAAATGGTCCTTATCATTTTTCTCGAAAATTTGCCCGGTTTCGAGAAAAACGGCACGAAGCGCACCTCGAATAATGAGCTTGTGTTGTTTGCCGGAGAACACAGTCCGTGTATTTACACATCGGCGGGGGGACAAATTATTCAATAACTTTTTTAAAAATGCATATTTTCTCATGATTCAAAGTTCATGTGAAAGAGGAATTCTGCTGCTATCATACCCTGTGAATTGAGTCACGCTTGACTCTTTTGGCCATATCGGAACATGGGTCAAACTTTCTGCTCCCGGTCAATTTTGACCTCGCCAGGAATTTATTCCTATTTTTTTTGTATTGCACTAATTTACTCAAAATTCTCTTGATTATGGGTCCTCATAAGGTCCTTTGTCATCCCTGAAATTTGTATACCCTATTTTTTTTTAATTTTCATTCAATCTTTGTTTATTGAATCCCAATTTTTTGCTGTTTTTGGAGCGCGGGGAAATTTTGTGAACAACCATCAATTAAAAATTTATACATGATCCGATTGGTTTCTATGATACATCATTTGAAAGCTAAGAAGGTCTACTTTTCGATTGTGCAATAACTTTTTTAGACGAAGTCGCCCATTTTTCAATAAAATTAGAAAAAGCGGGGTCAAGGAAAAAACGCACTTTTTTTCGGTGGGTTTTTTCTCCGTGCTCTTTATTTCTAACATTTCAACACCTTAACTAGTGTAACGAGGGAATTCCCACCTTTCCATCGATGTATATAAGTCATACCTTTGATATTCCGGGAAAAAACCAGTATATCTAAATGTACACGCTATAATTTATTACTTTCGTTCCTCCGTCGTTCGCCGCGTGTGTGCTCTACGTGGCGCTCGGGTCGTCTGCTACAAACCATGCGGCCACGCAGGGTATGATAGCAGCAGAATTCCTCTTTCACATGAACTTTGAATCATGAGAAAATATGCATTTTTAACAAAGTTATTGAATAATGTGTAAATACACGGACTGTGCTCTCCGGCATACAACACAGAAGCTCATTATTCGAGGTGCGTTTCGTGCCGTTTTTCTCGAAACCGGGCAAATTTTCGAGAAAAATGATAAGGACCATTTTTGTCGAAAATTAACTGAACTTCAATTTTTATCTGAACCGAAAATCTCTAACTGCCATATTTTAGGAGATATTGGCTGAAAACCTATTTTCCTGGTCTTTTGGGGCCATTTTCTCCGCCATCGCACGCGTTTTCCAGTCAAACTGTGTCTCATGTTTAATGAGGTACCAAAAGCTACTTCCAACCGGAAGATGAAAATAGTGCGTAATTAACGTTAACTTTGCCTTTTTTTCCTCCTTCATTTATTGGACTAATAATAATGTGTCATTATTTCTCTTCGAAAATACAGGGACGATGGTAACAGTACAGAGTACATTTCTGGTATATCTTTCGCTCCAGTAAATTTCTGGATGCCAACCAACGATCAAGAAAAATACGGGGGTGTGTCTATGAAAAGTGAGACTAAAATAAAATTTTCAGAACCCAAAATTTTCCAGGAAAATTATTACTAGTTAGTGTATTGGGCGTCCTGATTCCGAATCCGGAGTGATTTTCAATCTATTTTGCCTCCTAATATTATTTTCCGGTAATTGGAGTGGTTCCATGGCTGTTGGCGAGCAGTGTATATCACTGAAGATGACCTCACTTGGTCATAGAGTACATTTTTGTTATATCTCTCGCAGCAAATTTCAGGATCCCAACCCAACGATTACGTAAAATACGGGGGTGTTTCTATAAAAAGTGAAAGAAAAATGAAATTTTCAGAACTCAAAATTTCCCAGAAAAAATCTGAATAGTCAGTGTATTGGGCGTCCTAATTCTGGATCCAAAGTGATTTTCAATCTAAACTACTCAACACTAATTTCGTCGCACACCAAAATGTCGCCCCTGTTATAATGTGAATAACTTTTTTCAGTTTAGAACAATTTGAATTTGGTTCACACTGTTCGATAGCCCAGTCCTTCAGCTATAATCTCGTACTTCATTGAGACATAAGGGTATTCACATAAAATCTCTACATGGTGTTTTCCGACACTGTGCAAAATTTCGGAATATTCAAAAGGCTCTCAAATGGTGAAACATTTTTTTTTTCAACTTCGACAACAGAGGCATGGAGATGATCTCATTACCTCGAGATATTTCGCGAATCAACTTCCTATCTCTCTTATTTACAGAGTGATCTCAAAAAATCAACTTTTTGGTTTTGCAGCCATAACTTTTTTCCACGTCAACCGATTTTGGAAATCTTCGGCTCATTTTGAAGATAAAACTTCAGATGAAGAGATATGAATATCATAATCGACTCAAGATGGCTATAAAAGATCTAGAGTTTTCTTGAAAGTGACCCAAATCAGTGGCGGCTCGTGACTTTCATGACAGAGGAGGCTGAATGATATGAGATTTATTGTGAAAAACAACTCTCTACTCACCCAAATCAATAGCTTTAATGACATTCCGTATACCAGTTAACCTGAACTTAATACTTGAAGAGATGTGTTCCTGCGATTTGCAGTGTCTATCCAATCCGCGAGGCAAATTTTTCAAATCATTATATCCTAATCGCCCCCAACATGATGACTTATCGGTTGAAAATAATACGCAGAACCACCAAAATAGCTTATTCCTTACCTCAGATCCCGTCAGCCAGATATATTTTTAATAATTATCAGAATTGAACGAACGATTTTGTTTGTTACCTGTTACAATCAGATTTTTTAATTCCGGTGTCGGACGTTTGTTTTTCACAATCAATTTATCTTCATAAAACAAAGCACCGAATGGGTTCACCAAAAAGTATTCCACTAAATCGCAATCGTTCAAAACATTCATTTTTCAGAAATTTATAGAGCCCCTAACCATTAACCTAACATAAACATAAACAATGCACTCGCGCTGGATTGTCCTCAATTCGCGACGTGACACGACAAACACGTGCTATTCGGGCATATTCGGGCATTTGCATTGCACGCGTGGGTTGCGCTTTGTGAAGGAGTCTAGACTCCTATAGTTGTTGCCAAGTTGAATATTTTACGCGTGATTTGAAGACTTCAACGTGTGATGCGTGAGCAAGCACTGTTGCCAATTCAAAAATAATTACCTAAAAACAGGAAATAAAATCAAAATCCATGTATTTTGGTGTCCTTTTAATGAGAAAGTATAGATAATATCAGTTTAAGAAAAATCTCTGAGGAGGCTCAGCCTCCGTTGCCTCCTCTGAGGAGCCGCCACTGACCCAAATCTGGAACGCCCTCCGAATCTCGATTGGGAGGAGAATTGAATGAAAATCAACGTGTTCTCGGAAAAACAATTCATTCTGGATGCGTCCATATTTTCCTCGCTCTCAGTAGTCAAGAATTGTGCGTTTAAAACACAATTGAAACATGTTCTTGCAAAAACATCAGACCGTTTCTCCTCTGTAATGCATGGCCCGTAACCAACGTTACAAGAATCACAATGGACTGACAAACCCGACCAGCTAAAGCTCATCATAAATGGTGTACCAACAACCCTATGCGGTCTCGCATTGTCATCAACGAGAACAAAGTTGTCACCCACATTCGCGTTAGATGCGGCATCGAAACTATCGAAATCTGTTTATGATTCGAAAACGACCTCTAACCTGACTTGTCAGTCACTTACTGTGATTCTTGTAACGTTGGTTACGGGCCATGCATTACAGAGGAGAAATGGTCTGATGTTTCTGCAAGAACATGTTTCAATTGTGTTTTCTCACGCACATTCTTGACTACTGAGAGCGAGGAAAATATGGACGCATCCAGAATGAATTGTTTTTCCGAGAACACGTTGATTTTCATTCAATTCTCCTCCCAATCGAGATTCGGAGGGCGTTCCAGATTTGGGTCACTTTCAAGAAAACTCTAGATCTCTGATAGCCATTTTGAGTCAATTCTGGTATTCAGATCTCTTCATCTGAAGTTTTATCTTCAAAATGAGCCTAAGATTTCTAAAATCGGTTGACGTGGAAAAAAGTTATGGCTGCAAAACCAAAAAGATGATTTTTTGAGATCACTCTTTAAATAAGAGAGATAGGAAGTTGATTCAAGAAACATCTCGAGGTAATGAGATCATCTTCATGCCTCTGTTGTCGAAGTTGAGAAAACAATTTTTTTCACCATTTGAGAGCCTTTTGAATATTCCGAAATTTTGCACAGTGTCGGAAAACACCATGTAGAGATTTTATGTGAATACCCTTATGTTTCAATGAAAAACCAGATTATAGCTGAAGGGCTGGGCTATCGAACAGTGTGAACCAAATTCAAATTGTTGTGAACTGAAAAAAGTCATTCACATTATAACAGGGGCGACATTTTGGTGAGCGACGAAATTAGTGTTGAGTAGTTTATTAGAAAGAAAAAAAGAAAAACATGAATTCTCATTCATTCCCCCGAAAAACTCCTCGCAGGTGACGCAGTGCGCCCCCTTACCCAGGCCGGGCACCGTCCAGAGCTCCAGCGCCCTGCCCCTCCTCTCTCTCAGCACCAGCCAGCCCATCAGGGCGGTCACGTCGCACGGCAAGGTCCGCCCGAGGGGCGCGCCCTCGGCCGGCGGCGGCAACGCTGGCGGTGGAGGAGGGGGCGGAAGCCGAGGGCGGGGCGGTAGTAAGCCGCCGCCCGGGGCGGTCAACCTCGAGCGCAGCTACCAGATCTGCCAGGCCGTGATCCAGAACAGCCCGAACAGAGACCAGCTGCGCGGACAGCTGAAGCCGCCGCCTAGTTTGCTGGCGGTCGCCCACGCGAATAACAAGAAGAACGAGAGCAACAGGTTGGTAGTTGGGCGGAGATATCCGTTTTTTTGTTCATCAACTAAGTGTATCCTAGGGTCCTTTGATGGAAATTGACGTTAAAGTCATCTTAACAGGGTACGGAATAGATATTTACGTAATCAGTTAGGAAACGCGTTGTTTTATGTAACAATGGGATTTTGTCACAGAGTTACACAAAATGGCGTTTCCTAACGTGTCACGTACAATATTTTTTCTAATTTTGACGAAACATTTCGCATGAACAAAAATAATGACCAGTTTTACATGAGTTCTGCCGACTCTTCACAAAATTTAGTAGGCTAGTTGACTTCACCTGTCACTTTGAAGTATCCGTCAAACAACAATACGGTCACAAACTAGCGACGAAATAGAATCGTTTGATGTTTTTATAGGTGAAAAATGTCCGATTCAAGTTCTGATTCACCAAGTGATATTGAGGAAGCAGCACAAAATGCACTATTAACCATGATTCCGGAAAAATCAAAAGAACGATATGATATTGCTTATAGAAAATTTGAAAATTGGTGTGAAGAAAAAAAGGTTAAGCATATCAATGAAAAAGTTATGCTGGCATATTTTGAAGGACATAAAAGTCTGAAAGCTTCCACTCTCTGGTCAGGTTACTCAATGTTGCGATGTGAAATTGCGTTGGAAAAATACATCGACATAAAAAAATACACCAATTTATTGGCATTTCTGAAGAGGCAGTCCGATGGATACCAAGCAAAGAAGTCAAATGTCTTGTCGAAAGAGCATATCTCTCAGTTTTTGATGAAAGCTGATGATAAAACATTTTTGATGGCAAAGGTGAGCGTTTGTAGCTATAGTTTTTATATAATATTATGTTCTTTTATACATAATTTTCTCTTTCAAGGTTGCAATGATAATCGGAATATATGGTGCATGTAGGAAGTCTGAATTGACCTTTTTGAGAATTGAAGATGTTGTAGATGAACATTCATATTTTCTAGTCAATATTCCGATGACCAAGACCAAAGTTGTACGAGAGTTTATCATCACAATGGGCGACATTGATGGATTGAATTTGGTCGAGATATTGAGAAAATATATGAAGTTATGTCCACAAAATTTAAAACATAACAGATTTTTTGTCAAATATAATAGTGGAAAATGTGGTGTTCAGCCGGTTGGGATCAACACTTTCGGTAATCTTCCTAAGACGATTGCTCGATTTATTGGGTTGCCAAATTCTGTCTTATTCACTGGTCACTGCTTTCGAAGATCTTCGGCAACTTTGCTTGCAGATTCAGGTGCCGATTTGACGAGAATTAAAAGACACGGAGGTTGGAAGTCCAGTTCAGTAGCTGAAGGATATGTGGAAAATTCCTTACAAAACAAGAAAAAGACAGCCACGGATATTCTTGGCCAAACTAATAATCAAATCACAACCAGTTCCACGAGTTCAACTTCTCTTACATCGGGAATTAATATTTCTAATTGTACTAATTGTGTTATAAATGTTTATTCTTATTAAATTCTTGTTTGTTTATTTGTATAGCTACAGATTTGAATCAATTTCTCTTCGTCTATCCATATTCTTATTTCGTAACTGGTGTTGAAATGAACATTACATCACCAGTTATGTAAAATTTTACTTTACGCAACTGGTTACGTAAAGTAAGACGTTTCAAAACTTCCGTCAGTTTTGAAAAGTGTCAAATTATATGTCGAAATTAGAAAAAGATCATAGCTGCATTCGTTTTTAATGATCTAGAGACTTTAGTTTTGTCTACTGGCATTCCTGACATTGCTGTCACGTTACAACCATGGGCGCTACAGAAAATCATTCAAAATTTTAATAATAGGTATGTACAGGGTATTTACTTGTTGAGGAAGATCATATGGTGAACAAGTTTTGCAATGAAAATCCAAGATGACGGATCCAATATGGCGAAATACATTAGTTTATATAATTATTACTCTACCACAAATAGAAAATATGTAGGATGCAAGAGTGAAAATAACGTGCCTATAAGTCATACTGTGTATACCTACTTGTTTGTTACTTTCATCATTAAATTATTTGAAAATGACTTTTTATTTAAGGTAGACGGAAGAATCATATGTATAACATGGGGGTGAAGTATATTCTATACTTTATTTCCCTGCACATTTTACGTATTACTTTTTATCAGCTTACTTTTCGTCCTAGACGAAGTTTTATACATAGTGTGATATTAGTCACTCCATAAATTCTTCTTTGAGTTGGATTTCCGAAAATATATTTAGCACACATTACATGAGTACAGTAGTTTAGATACTCACATTGAGGTTTTCACCGTTTCTCAATCATAAGGCTCAGCTCATTCAGCTCATAGATAAACTACTGCTCAGTTTGAAATTAGAATTTCAGTCAATTCAGTCAACCCTTGTATACAGTCTAAGAACAGTCTCTTTTGGTTAAATATATTGAGCTTTCAGTACAATTTATATGTTCCCTACCTCGCAAAAATTATGCTGGAGTAGTGAACTCTAAAACTAGAGGATTGTTCATCTATATTTTGGTATAGTTGAATCAGCAATTCCATATGGAAATTACGTATGATACGCCAGTGACCTCAATATAACCTAAAAAACAACAAATGTCAAAAATCTATTGTTTATCCCCAGAATTGAATAAGGATGGAACTATATAACTGTTTCACAAACACTTTACACACCCTGTAAAGATGACTTTAACGTCAATTTCCATCAAGGGACCCTAGTGTATCCTATTTTCGATTTCCTTACAGAATATCGCACATATTTTTGATATAGAGATTTGATGTTTCCGCGAACGTTGGCTACTTTTTTATGGAACACGATACTGCAATAGAATATTATTATACAAGTTTTATAAGACACATTTTTGTCGCACGTGTTATTTTGAGAAAAACTAGTGCGACAATATGTCCCATAACACGTGTGTATTTTTCTATTTTGCATTCACTTTTACTCTTTCATTAAAAAAAAAGTAATTTATGAAAAGTGACATTTTATAACCTGTCAACAGAGATGAAATTTCAAACGTTTTTCCCGTCACAGAAAAACAAAATTCTTATAGTCCGCCTTTCAAACATAACACGTATCAAGATTATTAGCCCTGTATTACATGATGTACAGTTGCTTGGGGATTTTTATAGCCATCACCCACTGATTCACTGATTAGATCCACAGCTTTTATAGTCAGTAAATAGTGCTGTATATTTGTACATGTTGAATGTTGGTAAAATTAAAAGTAGTGTGTGACAAAACACTGTGTCACTAACAAGGTAAATATGAAAATTTGATATGTTAGTAATATCAGGCATTTTTTAGCAAAAAACCAATTCAGCACGTCAGGAAATTGCTGAAACACCATATGTTACAATTTTAAAGATAAAATCGTATACAAGACGTTTTTTATCAGGAATTATTTGTTTTCCATGAAAACAATCACATACAATATATTAAAATATCGTGATTATATTCAGATACTCATAGAACACTTATTCAATGATTCTTTTGTTGTTATCATACTCAGGATGTTGTTTGTACATTTCTAAATTTGATAACATTTTATAAGCTGTTATCAGTATATTTTGAATATTCACCTGGAAGTTACCATTAGAAGAAACTTTATTTCCTTTGCAGGTCTACTGAAGATGGCAACTTAGCTGCCAAAATATGTTTGAAATACCCTGTTTACACTGGGCGTTGAAAAAAATTGTTTATCATTTGACAAGCTTCAATATGAAATGTTAACTACATGTCACTTGTTTAATATTATAAACACCATTATAGATATTTCATATAAATGATGTGATATGTATGATTTTCAACATACAGAGTCGATTTATAGCCAGCTGAAAATGGCAAAAAATCTTCCAAGAATCGTTCATTCATTTTTACGTTGTGCATGCCTTTTCTTTAATATTATTTTTCATTTTTCTCATCTACCCCTTGTCATTTTGCCCATCTTCCTGATTACCCGTCGCGAGGCCGCCGCCTTCATAACAACATTGCCGGCAACTTCAACACCTCACATTTCTCAATGAAAGTCTGATTTTTATAAAAAATATTAATCGTGATAGAATCTTCAACACGTTGAATCTCTCTCCCTTGGAGATGTGATGGTGGACCAATTTTACAATACTTCTATAAGTTCGAATCACCATGTTTACTCTGGGCTTTAAAAGAAAATTTTCATCATTTGACAAGTTTCAAGATCACTAACTTTATTATTAAGACGATAGTCATTTTTCCTCTAACCTTACCAGGCTAACCAGGTTAACTTTATTATGACGTCACTGTAACTTCATCATGACGTCACGGTTTACTTGTCGAGCTTGACAGTTGTCAGTTTGTCTGTTGTTGTTATTTTTTCATTAATTATTCCCCTATATTCAATAAGAAATTCATCATTTGTAACAAAAAGATACTATAGATATATATTAGGATTAGGTACGTACTTACCTACTTCAAATCCAAGGAAATTTGATCAACTAGCTACATATTTTCAATGAATCAATTATTTCTTTTTCTCCAATAATATGATAAGATCTTTCATTCACGAATACTTGGTTCATAACCTCAGATTATAACCTAAGATTATAACAACAAGAGTGAGAAACAAGAACCCAATCCAGTGACCAATCAGAAGCCTTAACTACTCCATGAACTACTTCAGTGAGCTGGTTTCTGTGGTTGTTTAACCATTACGTCATAGTTTGGAATAAACTTCGAGGAAAGTTGAGTGGTCAACTTATTGTCGACCCGATTTGTGTGGTTGACTTAGAGGAAAAATGGCTCATTATAAATATCTCATATAAATGATGTGTTATCTATGATTTTTAACATTCAGAGTCGACTTATAGCCAGCTGAAAACGCCAAAAATCTTTTAAAAATTGACTGAAATCGTTCACTCATTGTTACGTTGTGCATGCCTTTTCCAATGAACTCAATATAAACAACTGGAAGGGACCCTCTGTGAACGACGAGTGAGGCAAAAATATTGTTCAGGCAACCCGCAGTGTTTACGGATACCTATCTCTCTCTATCTTATGTTCGCTAATGGGAAGCGCTCGCATTATTTGAAATATTTTCTCGTTTTTTGCTTTTATTCAAGAGTAAACGTGATTGAATAAAAATATTCATATAGGAAAAGGATCAATTATCATTAAAAAATTATTATTGATTTTTTTATTGACTTAAAAATGAAATTTCATTTTTATTCTTACAGGATTAGGAAGTCAAATGAATACAAAATTGAAATTATATATTTTCATTCAAATATCACAATATATTGTACAGGGTGAGCGAAGCACAATGTCAAGCACTATCAGAAGAAAAAGAAAAACGATAGGAAAAATTTGAAAAGAGGTTCTTGAATGGTATTGACTACCTAAGGTCCATTTTGAGCATAATTTCCATAGGTTCCTATTTTACCATTAGGTCACTGCCTACAAACATATCCCTATTAGAAATTTAAAAAATAAAATTCTCAATACAATATCCTCTCCCAATGGAATAGTTTGGGTTTCTTTATTGAGGAACTTCGAAACTCGGGAGCTGGAAGTCATAGGTAAAGTCCATAATATGAGAAACATCTTCCTTAGGACCCAAGTTATGAACTTCCACAGATGCATCCTGAAAATAAATTACTAGCTAGTTTTTTATTTTGAAGAGGTGCAAACATACTTTTTTTTTCATTATTAATCAACTAGGTACCTATGAGTTTTCTTATTTTCCTTCAAGGATCAGTATTTTTTGGTAACAAATGCTTAGCATATCTGGTTTCAATAACCTCTTCCTCTAGCAGTACCTGTTATGTCTAAATAAATAATCAGTTGGCAGGAAATGCTCTCCACAAAGCTTGCTGGTTTTAGATGGAGTCCAACTCTCTCTACGAACTGCCTTAATCCATAATTCAAGAATGTCTGAATGGAAAACTGCAACAAATAATATCATTCAATATGTTTATGGAAAAGTCCTGGAAGTATTTAACTTTGACAAATAATAAAGGTATAGTTTTTGAACACATTCTGAGACTGGGAACATTGTACACCTAACTGATGATCATTTCAAGAACCATATTTTCAAAAAATCTGAGCTTACCCATGGAATGACAATTTCCTTTTGTCTTGCTCGTTCTTGCATCCGAAGGCGACACAATAAATCACCATTTGTTTATCAAACCTTCTCAACAATCAGTTCACAGTATTCACACCAACAAATTCAGTCCTTTTTATAAAACAAAACATGCCCAATGATTAGATATTTCACATAAACAAAGACAATGAACTTATGTCTTCACTTTCTTGAGAGAAAATATCTAAAGTACTTTAATTACTAGATAAAAGAAAACGTAAACACCAATCCACCATTAAACAACACGAGTAGGAAAGAGACAGGTTACCGTAAATCATGCTATCTTTGTTGCAGCTGCCCCTGACACACTTTGTGCTATTCGAGAGAACGGCCGTCTCCCTTCCAGGTGTTTATATTGAGTTCATTGGCCTTTTCTTTAATATTATTTTTCATTTCACTCATCTACCCCTTATCATTTTGCCCATCTTCCAGAGGTAAGAGACATTATCTTAATCCCACCAGGCAAACGCAGTACAGCTCGATAACCTCGTCGCGCGCCGTCCCCCCCAACAACGTCCCCGGCAAAACGTTCGCCCCACCCCCGATGCCCGCGGCCGGCGCAGGCGTGGCCTACCAAGGGGGCGGGGGCGTGGCCTACCAATCGAGCGGCAGCAATGGCTTCAAGGGGGGCGTGGCGGCGCAGCAGAAGGCGCGTGCGGTACCGCCTTACCCGCTGCAGCAGCGCCAACCGAGTCCGCCGGTGGTGGTGCGGCACGTGTTCACGTCCGGGCAGGGCATACCGGTGACGATGGCGGTGTTGCCGCAGGCGTCGGCTTTGAGTCCCGATGTGAGTGTTTTCAATAGTATATTACGTAACAATAGTTGTAAGTAACCCATTTCGTGCGTAATGGGCTTACAACTCGAGCAACGTACTATACTTTTTAACGCCCATTCATTTTCTTCCATTGAATAAAAAACATCGCAATCATTTAAACTTTATTATAATAGTTGTTAATAAAAATAGAATAATTATTGTGAATCGATTGTGCCTTATTATTTAATGGTAATGACCGGTTATTTATAATTATTGTAGTACTGCTCGGTACATCAGAAGAAGATTGATAATTAGCAGTAACAAATTATGTGTGGCAGCTTGAGCTTTTTCTAAAATCTCTGATGGAGTGCTCATAATTTCATCACTTTCACTACTATCACTTATAAATACACGGGGGCTTTATTTTTGTCGAAGTAAACTTGACATGTATCAATAAGAATTTTGTTGCCTGGCAATTCAACGAAAAAAACTGCTTCTGAAAAAATTACGAGTCCGTAGGAGCGTGTATAGCTTCTAATACCTTTCTCGAGACTTCGTTGGCAATAACGCATCTGTATCGCATCCCTATAGCTGGAAGTTTTTTATCACAATGTGGCTTTTCCACTGAATCCAAAATGACAGTAACACTTTGTCTGTCACTTCGTCAATTACAAACTCATTTGAGGTTTATTTGGCATGACAACAATAATCGTTTCCCATCAGATCAATCCAAATCTATAGGGGGATTTTTATAATAATCAATTTTTATTTTTCAATATTTCTCAATTTTCACAATAAATAGTGCAATTTGATGGATGATTCTGAACATACATACTTAATACTGCAACAAACAAACTTGAATCTTTCATATTCCATCACCTACCAGTAATATTTCGCGATATTATCACATCTTTATTTTTCCACACTGTTGCGGGAAAATGACACTTCCCAAACTGTTTTCATCGTTCCATGTCAAAGCCACTTCAAAACTGGGGGAAAACAAACTCAATCCTCACTCAATCCCATTAGTATTAGTGCCATTACCTTGTGTACTGTGTACTGATAAGAGTGATGTTTTTAAATTTCTTGACATTAATTGTCAAAATTCAATCGAAAACGCTAATAATGCCTGTTGTAGATGTTCTTTTGGCAGATATTTTGCTCTATTTAGACGGAAAAAGCCGACCAGTAGTGGAAGAAGAAGCAGTTCTCCGTGCTAATCATGTGATTTTGTGTGAGGCAGAAGACTTCAACAAAAGGCACATTTTTGCACTTTGTCTACAAACTTCGGCGATGAAATCTTCCCCACATGAAGTAAAATTGAAGTTGGGGTCCAGAGGAACTCCTGTAGAACAATGGATTTGTATTTGTTCATGCAAAGCAGGACAATCTGGGTATTGTAAACATGTTGTAACTGTTCTTTTATATGTCAATTGATTTGCTCGTCATAATTAGTTTGAATTGTTTGAACTATCTCCAATTCTTCACCCTTTCACTGTTCACTAAACTAATAAAAATGTAATAATGTAAAAAAATTAACCAACTCAACCATCATCACTACCCACAGTGCCAACACTTTATGTCATTGACAAGTTTGACTACAGCTACAGCAAGCTGAACGCAATGTAGTCTATGCACTTTATCCATCCAGACAAAGTTCGTTTTCCCCCAGTTTGAAGTTCGTATTATGTAACCTAGATGTCGCCCACTTCGTGAATTTCGCGAATAGGATGAATCACGCACGCTTGTGGAAAAATACAGTATCGAATATTTTTCCAGATGGTGGACGGCCAGACCCCCATGGGCGTCGGCCAGTACATCCTCGTGCAGCGCGCCGGCCTCCACGATCCCCACCACCATCACGCCACGCCCCGGTCGTCGAGCGCCCCGCCCGCGCAGCAACAGATGGGCGGGGCGAGCGTGGGGGGCGGGGCGCCGCCTCAGGTCGCGCAGGTGGGTGGGGCGGGCAGGGGCCGGCCGGCCAGCGTCGAGGTGGATCATCCGTCGTTGCAGGGCCAGCCTTTGGGAAGCAACGATTTCGTGGTGCAGTGTCCGAATCCGGGCACGCAGGTGAGTCCTTCGGTCAGGTGTTGAAATTTTTATTGTTAAAATTGTTCTTATCCATCATTCGGTTGCCCCCTTACGAGCAACCCTCAGAAGTCTTCGAGAGACTTGTGCGAGCAAGGAATGACGGGGGTCTTACCTTTTAACGTGTGATCCTAAACACTTTCTTAAGTCCGTATGACACGGACCAATTTTCACTCATGAAATGGATCATTATTGAACACAATAAAACATTCAGAATAATCTGAATTATTTTCTATGGGAAAATGTAAGATTTCCGTGGATATTATATTATTATTTCAATAAATAAATTGAATAAAACTATTTTAGTCAGATTCAAATACATTTGAAAGTATGAGTCAGAATTCTAACGGTAGATATTGAGGATCGGTGGTAGAGCGGTAGTTCACACTATAAAAATGGTGGATCTACCGAAGAATGCTAGACCTGGTAACACTGGCCACCACAGTGAAACAACCGCTTTCTCCGTGACATGTTGCCAAATGCCATCCTTTCTTAATATTCCTATGTGTAATGATTTGATGAACAATCGTCTAGAAATCAAGTGTTTATAATGCCAGTTATGAATTAAGCTCTTACTGTGGCTTCTCAGTATTTGTACTGCATCAACCATCTCATTCAATTCATACAAGAGTTGTTCATTATAAGGACATGCTTTTTGAAAAAATATATGTGCATTTCAATTTTACACACTTTATTCGAAATTTAGAATTGATATGAGAAAAAACTACCCATCTCGTAAGTGTCAATAACTCTTGCACTTCAACTAAAACTACGTACACATAGTATGTGGCAAACAAATGCCGGGAAACAATAGGGATGCACCTAAGCTTCGGTTTAGCTTCGGTTTTGCTTCGGTATTCGGCCGATCTGGCCAATTTTCAACTATTCGGTATTCGGCCGAAACAGGACTGCTATGGCCGAAGCGCTCAATAAATCGAAATATTCTTGTTGAGACAAGTCCTCATTGATGAAACCTCTTTTGCTAAATCAGTAGGTGATGATGATGACGATGAAAATCCTCCCATATCATAAATGGTGACATTATCAGAAAACATTACGATTGAGATAAATAATTCACTATGGGAATGCTACGGAATATGAATAAACAGATCCAGATGTGTCTACACTCTTTGTTACTGATGAGAAATGGAAATCCTTATTTATGATGGAATAAAAATTAGAAAGTTCCTGCCTATTCCGAGTTGAATGACCACAAAATTCCGACTTATTTCGGAACCAGCTTGGTTTAAAGTGAAAAAATATTCTCGGAGGTTGATTTTGATCATTGGATGTTCTTCAGCATACCATTTCTTTCTGTATCTGAAGAATGATTAATGATTTGTTTATATTCTGCTTCAGTTAAGATAATGATGTAGTATTTTGTTATAATGCTTCGACCGAAGCTCTAGTGCATCCCTGTTAAACCACGAATTTTCTATTTCAAGGCCGTGACGCGACGCCAGCGCCTCCCCTCCGGCGTCGTCTACGGCGACGTCAGCCTCGACGGCCCGCCCCACTCCGCCTACACTATCATCGGGGGCGGGGCCGAAAACGTCGCCGCCATGCACGACCATCCGGCGGCGGCGATGCAGAGCCAACTGGCCGCTTTCCAGAAGAAGGCAGCCGAGCAGGCGTCGTGCGCCTGCAGCCTCAAAGCGATGGTGGTGTGCAAAAAATGCGGTGCCTTCTGTCACGACGACTGCATCGGGCCGGGAAAGGTGTGCCGCGTATGCTTCATTCGGTAGGCGGGTCTTCCGACCGAAAGAGGCGTGTCTTCAAGCGGTAGGCGGGGCATCGGATCGTAAAAGGGCGTGTGTTCGTGCAGAGCCAACTGATCTCGTTCCAGAAGAAGGCGGCCGAGCAGGCGTCATGTGCCTGCAGTCTCAAACCGATGGTGGTGTGCAAAAAATGCGACGCCATGACGACTGCATCGGACTGGGGAAGGTGTGACGCGTGTGAAAGAGGCGTGCCTTCAGCGGCAGGTGGGACATCGAATCGTTAAAGGGCGTGGGTAGGTGAGGTAGGCAGGGCCTTGGGCCTTCATGCAGTGGGCGGAGCATCGGAACAGGCGATGGTGTCTAGTCTGCTTGATAGGCGGGACATCGGTATGGGGAAGGTGTGTCGATTTGTTTTATTGGAGGTGTGGTAAATCTTAGTTCACGAGACAGGACCACTTCCACTTCTCTATGACGCTGAATGGTTGTAGAGGTATAAGTATGATTTCTGAAAAGGGGTCGTGTCCAGTGGACAATCTGAATGGGCAGGGCATCGGTCCGGGGAGGAGCGTGTCTTCCAGCGGTAGGCGGGGCATCGCCTCGAAAGGTGTGTCGATTATTTTTGATAGGAGGTTTTTATAACGCTGAGTGGTTATAGAGGGGTAGCCATCATTTTTGAAAAGGGGTCGTGTCCCGTGGACGATTTGAATAGGCAGGGCATCGGTCCGGGGAGGGTGTCTCGAGTTTGTTTGATGGGTGGGCCGTGGGAAGTCAAGCTTGGAAAAGTGTACCGTGTTTGCTTCTTGCGGTAGTCTGATGCAGGGAGGTGTTTACGTAGTGAGATAGTTGTAAGGATGGTGTGATTTTTATCGGGATGGTGCATCATTAATATGAACGATTAAATGTGGATTAATTTTTTTCTGTGACGGGAAAAATCTGCTGATGGATGACAGAATGTCGCTTTTCGTGAAATCACACTTTTTTCCCGGAAAAAAGTGAGTTCACCGTCTCCGAGAAAGAACTGCGTGTCTCTTTTATCTTCAATTTCATGAATCATAACACAGATATTTGATTACTTCAAAAGGTTTCCTTAGCAACGCAGGTCCAATTGTCGCTATGAGTACAACAGCCTACCGGATAATAATTTGAAATTTCATATTGATAATTTTTTGATTTCAATATACATGGTGACCTTGAAAGGTCTGTACAAAATGTCAGCACATACTCCTGAGGTAAACATGAGCCGATTGAAGCACGGGAATATTTAAATTATTTTGAATAAAAAATGTTTGCTGTTATCTTCTTGGATGTAATTTGGCCAGTGAATTAGCAGTGCAAACATTGATTTTTCAAAATACTTTCTTGGAGTGTACTTGTCGATTTTTATTTATTATTTTCACCACCCTGTATCTCGGAAACGGAGCGATTTCGGACTGAGGTAAGTTGCTTTAAATCGGCTTATATTAACCTCGGGAATATGTGCTAAGATTTTGTACAGACCTTTCAGGGACACTCTGTACAGTCATATCTCTTCAATATTACATCTTTTTTTTTTTCATCACAGAAAAAAATTCAATATACATGGGAAATATATTAGATTCCAGCTACTACTTTTTCTTCTTGTATAATAAATAACTTTACAACAGTAAAATTTGTATTATATGGGAAATTTTCTCGTCGATTAATGGCTATACAAGGTGATCCACGGTGGATGGCCTATTAGAAGTATCTGGAGAACGAAGAGACAGAACATTCTGAAAATTGGCATGCTTTGATAATTGAACATTCTCTATTCGTCTAAAATATTTTCATCGATACAGTGTTGCCACTTCTATCAGAAACAACTAGCAACTTCGTTATTTTAAAAGGAGCACCCTGTATATTATTGCATTTTTAGATTCTTCCTGAAAAGCTGAGTTCATCAATGTATCACACTTTGGGTCTTGCAGGAATGATAACAGAGATATAGGGTGTTCTAAATGGAGATTTTTTCCATTTTAGGAATTTTTGTGTCGAAACTATTCATTATCAGTCAAAGTTAAGATAGGGAAATGTAAGCCGTTTTGATCGATAATGAATAGTTTCGACACCAAAAAATCCTTAAATTGAAAAAATCTCGATTTTGAACACCCTATATCTCTGTAATCATTCCTGCTAGGCCCCAAGTGTGATGCATTGATGAAATCAGCTCTTCAGCAGGAAGTATCTAAATATGCAATAAAATAGAGGGTGTTCCATCTGAAATAACAAAGTTGCTAGTTGTTTCTGGCAGAAGTGGCAACACTGTATCGATGAAAATATTTCAGACGGATAGAGAATGTTCAATAATCAAAGCATCCCAACTTTCAGAATGTTCTGTCTTCGTTCTCCAGATACTTCTAATAGGCCATCCACCGTCGATCACTCTGTATATTCTTCCAATTCGATCAAGAAATGCAATATTTCAAACAGGTTTGAATATGAAATTTCCAATTTCTTTATTCTCTTGGCGCTGTCAACGGTTGTAGGCCCCAATTATCACACTAGTGAACGAAAATGAAAGGAAACGTTGAAATTATTATCAATCTTGAATACACGCACCATCCTTATAACCATCCCATTCCGGCTATCTGGGAAAATGACAGCTATTTTTAGGTTATTATTCAGTTTCATTTGGCGGCAGGCCAGTGGTTTTGACTCGACAGGGGTGGGAAGGTGACTTTTATTTTCGAAAAATTGTCTTCACTGACGATTTGATTGTGGATTTTGAAAATTTATGAATGAAGAAGATGACCAAGCTGAAAGGGAGAGGGAATGAGAAATAGCTAAGAATTAAAAATGATAATTAATGGTAATATGCTCAAAATGTAGTCAAAATGTAATGGATGGATTTATGCAAACTTGATTATTGATAACATTTTCATTCTCACATTTTATCAAATTCAGGAACCCAAATTATTACTCATTTATTGTTCAGCAGTAGATGAGTTGGCAAACTTTTTTTTTTCACCACTATTCCGAGAATTCAACATTATTTACTCCTTTCCAAGTTGTTAATTGCTATTATACAATTAGTCATTTTCAAACGAAAATAGGTAGGTGTATAAGTACTAACTACTACTAACTAACCGAAAAAATTCGAAAAAACCATTGCTTCATTAGTGCAAAATTACCAAATTGAGTCAGAGTATCAATTTTGTTGATTTGAACTGCATATATCCATCTTTCATTAATATGTGTTAGTTTTTTCCATTGTCTGCTAAATATGGAGAAAAAATCTAGTGAGCTGTAGTCACTGGTCTGCTCTATAGCTCAGTTGAGTATATGACCACCAGAGGATGTTACCGTATCGGACGAAATGATCTTCACTTTTTTCTAGAAAATTTTCGAAATTTGTGGTTATGTAAGTTGTCAGTGTCAAGAGCCGTCGTGCCATTGTGACTTGTATTGTATTTTTCTTGAAAAAAATCTTTCTTCTTCAATTCTCATTGTTCTAATATTCCTTTCATTTATAGATATAGTTTTGTATTGTGCTCCCAGCATTATAGTTTATTCTGATAGATAATTTGTTACAAACTCTGTCTCTCAATTGTGCCTACCAGAAAGTGTGAAACCGTTTCCATTCATAGATTTCCAAGTGATATTCTTCTGCGACATTAGTGAATTCATTCGATATTGAGTGTTACAGGCTCATTACAAGTGAGATAATCAGAGCCCTGATCAAAAGCTAATAATCCATACTACTCATTCTACCTCCCATTTAATTTAGGTGTTGAACGTTACGCAATTGGAGACTATTGTATTGTCTGTAGCAACCATTTTGAGAAGGAATGATTTTTTGAATTTTTGAATTACTGAGTGACCGTGACTCGTGACTATATGTCGTGATACTGAACAACAAACTACGCGGCAGGCCGAGAATGTCGAGAGCACCGCTGAGGGAGCTGCTCAACTCGTTTACGATTTTCAAGGTTATGTAGGTTTGACAGGAAAACAATTGAAATGAGTGTTTCCTCGAGTTGACCGTATGGCGGCACTACGGTACCGGTCACAGAAACCTGTAGGTGATTTCCATTGTTTGAGCAGACCAGATACTACAGCTCACTAGATTTTTTCTCCATATTTAGCAGACAATGGTTTTTTCCATAAATAATCTATTTCATGATGTCCTTGTTGATTAAAATTCACTGGTATTAAAGTCATGCTAGTTTTCAAACGGTTTTATCCACGGATTTATCACTTGATGGTGTTCTTGGTCTTGGTCTTTTCTTGCAAAGCACAAAAAATCTTTATGTTGTGTTCAATTTCTTGGAATCTTATTTTTTCATTTTTCAATGTGAACACATCATGCTTTACGTACTATTAATAATCTATCTCCTGTAATGAAGATGTAAAAATATATGATATATACTCTTGACAGTCGGAACTATTGTTGTAAAAAGGTGTATATACTAGTTCTTAGTTTTCTTGTGTTGGCCTGCCACCAAATAAAACTTTTTTCTACAGGATGATGAGTAAAGTTGACGTCCTAGTTGAATATCTTGCCAATGGAAAGAGTTTGGGTAGAAATTTGAAATATTATATTCTGTGTGTATATTCTGTACAAGGTCATTCTCATTGATTTGAATCCCCCATCTCATTTCAATTCCAAATTGTTTCAAAACCCCATGCTTTGAGATTTTTTTGAACAGATATCATTTGTATTCAAAGTTTTGCGGTATACTTTTCCAGTGTACTCTGTGTACAGTGTTTTCCTGAATTCAAGTGTCAAAAACGTTGAGCAGATTCCTTCCATTAAAACAAGAAAGATGTCCGAAATCGGTTTATTTTCAAGGTGTGAAATTAAAAGAAATCGGATTTTTATAAATATGTAAGCAACGCCTTTGCCGATTTGAATGAAGTTTTCATCATTAAAATCTTCGTAAATTATCTTTTGGACCTTTCAGACCTTACTCAGTAATTCCAGGAAAAATAAATCCCTAGTAGATTTCACAGCTGTTTTTTGTCTTTTTTTATGAAACAGTTATTGAAAACAGCTTTTCCATTTCTGTAAAATCTGTTATCTCGGAAAAAAGTTCGATACGAAAAAATTAGAAACCAAAAATTTATGCTCTTCATTCATCAACTTTTTTCTTTGTTTTTATGTTCTAAAAAAGAAAAATTTTTTTTGTTCTTTCTTATTTTTATAGAAGGGATTTCTCCAATGCTTTTGTCACTCAAGGTCAGGAACACCGTGTATTTAAAATGCCATCACAAAATTTTGGACCTTTTTACAGAGAAGTGCACAAAAAACTGCATCGTTCGACATAGGATTTTGCAATTTAGTTGATAGCAAGTATACCAAATTGTCTTTTATTGACAAAAGATATAGATTTTATCACTTCCGGTTCAACCGGAAGCAACCCCAACTTCAAATTTTTGAATAGGCCACCCTATATATTTCGAAATTTTGATCAAAAATAGTTTCCAAAAAATTTTATTGGCAAAACATTTTTCGAAAATTTTTTAAAAATTTTTGACACAAAAAAAAATTCAGTCAGTCAGTCACGAAAATCTTAGGAAGGAAGGGGGAAAACATTTTATTGAAAAAAGTTTTCACAAAATTTTGCCACCATGAAAATGCCGGAATCTTACGTTCTTTTTTTTTCACCTTCACCCTAACCCGTATACGGACAAGATATATTTGGCATTTCCAGAATCATTACTACACGCGAGAATACCCGTCCTCGCCCACTTTCAAGCTATATTTGGCATTCCAATACAGGGCGTTTGGGAAATTTGGAATTGTTTCCGGTTGAACCGGAAATGATAGAACAAAAAATGTTTTGTCAATGAATGAGCAATGTGGTATACCGGGTGGCTACGGAAGTATTGCCTACGGAATATCTCAGTTATTGTATGAAGTAGGTTTGTGAAATTTGGAGCGTCGATATAATGACATGAGAACTAGAATTTGAGCATATTGACATGTCGAAGTTAACTTCCGGTCTGACCGGATGTAACATCAAATTTCTTATTTTAAATGGAAACCCTATTTTTTTTCTTTTCGCTTCATTCAGCATTCCCTTTCTAATGACATATCACAAGTTGGTATCTAACCAGAAACTATTTATTACTTTCAATTTTATTTTTGCGTATGGCGATAATCTGTTTTGTTATTTGAAGAATAGTAATTGGATTTCTTGGTATTTCATTTCAAAAAATGACTTTCTATTATATCATTAGAAAAAGGAATGGTTATGCTGAATAGTACAGGCAAGAAAAAGTTGCATGTACCTATTTAAGTTATGGACCTACAGAGTATTGTTTTTTCCAAATTTTTCCAATATTTTTTTGGCGGCTTTTTATAACGCCGACGAATGAAAATAAAATATCACAGTAGTAGCAATTGTTATCAAGTGACGTTGATGGTTTCCATAGCCAATTTTTCAATTTTTGGCTTTCATTTTGCTTCCACGGCCTACTCGGTGGATTTCAATAATTTTTTTCTGATCTAGTTTCTGGTTAGATACCAACTTGTGATATGTCATTAGAAAGGGAATTGAGTGCTGAATAAAGCGGAAAGAAAAAAAATTAGGGTTTCCATTTAAAATAGGGAAGTTGATGTTACTTCCGGTCAGACCGGAAGTTAACTTCGACATGTCATTATATCGACGCTTCAAATTTCACAAACCTACTTCATACAATAACTGAGATATTCCGTAGGCAATACTTCCGTAGCCACCCGGTATAATCCTTGCTGCCCACCAAATTACAGAAGCCAATCTTCAATGATTCAGAAATTTTTCGTGCACTTCTCTGTATGTGAAATTTGCGCAAAAAAATATGTAACATTAGTATTTTAAACTCATCGAATCTGATTAAAATCAGAAGACTGAAGGGAGGTTCACACTGATGAAATTAACCCTGTACATAAAACAAATTTGATCTGGTTGCATAATGAGTTTGTTCCATTCTTAAGATATTTTAGTTGAGGCATCATTTGTTCATGACCCTGTGCATGGTATTTCGAAATGCAACAACAAGACTTGGTTTATAGTGATTTGATAGTTTATAAATTAAAAGGAAAATACGGTGCGGCGAAAATCACAGCTATTCTAATTTATTGTCTTGAAGCAGACATTTCTGCTTGAAGTTTCTTCTGTACATAAGTTTTATTATGTTTATTTTGGTGTCTTTTGAGATTGAATAGAATATGATGTACCTAGATGTTCAAATTTGTGCTGAAAACTTGATCCCCATCTGAAGTTCATAAAGATGGATACTGACAAATATTTTTGCTGTTATTTTTGCCTCACCACAGCCATGTAAGCTTTTTTTGAAAATGGATACGTTGAATACTCGTTTTAGTACAGGTTTTATTTTTTTATTTATTTATAATGTTTCGTGACATATCACTAGCATTTCTTTTTTCCTTTACTTTGTAAGTTATTTATTTCTTTCATTACTAGAAGTCTTCCAAGCATTTATATTAGAAATGAAAAAATCGGATCTGCTTTTCACGTTGTTTTCAATGTTTCTTCACGAATATACTACCTCAGGTAATTGTCGTATACTTTTTCATTTTTGCTAAAAGTTTTTACAATGTTTCTAGTGCAATAAGATCCTTTAAATCTAAACATTCACCGTAAACTTCACTATTCCATCGTTTTTGTTTGTTTTCCTGAGCCAAAAATGTATGCTTGTGAGCTTTTTTCTAGAAAAAATTTCTAGAATCTAGAGTTAAGATGTGTATAATTATTTTTCATATAAATCTCATGTAGCCTTAAGGTCTTTTGTGTACAGTTCTTTTTTACTATTTAGAATTACTATTTAAGTTCTACTCTAGTTTTGTGTACATAAATAGGATCTTTCATGCAATGATTTTAAAATAGACAGTAATTGTTAATGAACACGTTGTTTTTTATTATTACTTCCTGATATTTAAATCTTGCTCATAATGGACGCAAAAAAAAACAGAGTTGAGTTGCTGCATTTGAATTCACTCTCGATCACGATTTATATCAGTTTATTCACAGATATCCAGTTAATCATTCATTGCTTACTCGATTTTTGTTTTTGAATAAAATTACAGTTGGCAACTGCAAGAATTCGTTTTGTTCATACATGCTTACCATAAAACGGGGTTACTTTGCATCTCCAGGTAATAACTTTTCCATGAGGTCGTGAGAAATCTGAGAAAAATTCATTTCTCAGCTGTTTATACTAAAAGGGCGTGACTTCGCCTTTCAGGATCCTCTGTTAGGTGCTGTTAGTCTGCAGTATCAATATATTTCAACTCAATAGGTTAGAGCTCTAGGTGCCGATATCCACCTGCCTATTTGGCGGGAGTTTTTGTATACGTGCGACCATGGACGTATGGACGTGCGAAAGTTGGTTTCGTAAGTATTTTCTGGAATGTTTCATTTCAATTCCATCATAGTATTGACATGTCTTTTATTGATATTCTTACAGGTTTTCAAAACATTAATACCTATATCGATAACTTTACGAAATTTTTGGGGGTTAGCAAAGTTCCACGATATTTTTTTGTCATGATTTCGATGTAAGAGATCGAGTGTCAAAAATATTCAATATATATAGTGTGAAGAATAGCGAGTGAATAGATGATGAGAGGCAGCTTGAGGACGTGATCTCTTTGTCTGTGTGCTGAATATAGGTGCCCCTTCACTCCTCTCTAAAAGTTCCACTGTTTTTAGTTTTTTCAATATATTGTATTCTTTTTAATCCGAGAACTCGTTTTTTATAAATCATTGAAGTGTTTATGGGTTTTGTTGAAGATGAAGACTGGATATGGGGTTCGACACAACATATGTGTATAGACAGATAAAATAACGCATTTTTAACAGAATTTTGTGTTTATTTCTTTTTGTTTCGAAGCCCCCGTTATATACTGATGGGTGGATGGAAAAGTATTTTTTCTGAAGAATCAATAACTTTGACAAAACATGAATTTTTGTATATAGGTACTAAATTACATTACATGGCAAAGAGTAACCACAAGTTATATGTGTTATACAGTCTGTCCAAGATAAGGTTGAACAGCATGGGGATCTCGAAAACGGTAGGAGATACGAAGTCGGTTGAATGGGGAAAAAGTTGTGCATTCGGAGGCTCATATCAAGAGCCTTCGAAAATTTTTAAAATTATTTTTAGTTTTTTAGTTATATCGAAAAAAGTGAATTTTTGGAATATCTATTTTATTTTTTATCTCCGTTATTATTAGAGATACAGAAAAACTGAAAATACTTTTTCATAGCAACTTTTGATGACGTTTAACGTGGTGATACCAATTTTTCTATGCGACGTTTCGTATCCGTAGAACCATCATCAACTTTTGTTTTTTAAATACGGTCCTGATAATTTTTTCACAGATTCTGAAAGGTTTTTTCATTCTGAATTTAACCATGTATTAGACAAGGTGATTCGAATGTGTTTCGACGTATGTCTATCCATCATCAATGTTTTTTCGAACTTCCAAAGGAAAAGTGCCATCAGTTCCACTCATTTCTGATCATTTACTGTCAAACATTGATGGATTAGTTATTCAATACTGAAAAGTGAATAAAAAATATTTCACTACATCATTCAATGCAGCGCTTGGAATTGTTGATGAATTCTTACAAGAATTACTCAAATTTACCGATATTTTCTCGAATTACTTTCTTCCTACCCTACCCGAGTTATATATACAGATTACAGTCTGTCCAAGATAAGGTTGAACAGCATGGCGATCTCGGAAACGGTAGGAGATACGAAGTCGGTTAAATGGGGAAAAAGTTGCGCATTTGGAGGCTCATATCAAGAGCCTTCGAAAATTTTCAAAATTATTTTTAGTTTTTTAGTTATATCGAAAAAAGTGAATTTTTGGAATATCTATTTCATTTTTTTTTCTCCGTTATTATTAGAGATACAGAAAAACTGAAAATACTTTTTTATAGCAACTTTTGATGACGTTTAACGTGGTTATACCGAAACGGATTTTGAAAAATCAATAATGAACAATCGATTTCTTTCTGAAAAATTTTGCTCCCTATATCACAAAAACGAAGCAAGTTAGGACATAGGTAATATAATATGTTTATATAGAGGAAACAGAAATGTTTCTCTACCTCTACCAATAATTAAATAACATATATTCTAGAAATATGCACATATATTACGTGGAGAACATGCCTAGCATATTCGAACAATACATTATGATATCATTCTTTTGGATGACATCAATAGAATAAAATGGATTATTCTAGGAACGTTCCTAGAATATTCTCGTAAAACATTGCATGAACATTCTGATGAATATCCTCATCATTCGGAATATTCTGAAGGAGGTATGTTATTGTGAACGTTTTGAGACCATTCATAGAATATTTTGTGCTGTCTGGGTATATAAGGCTCTCGTCATTATTCCTTGCTAGCATGAAGACTTTCTGATGGTCGCTCGTCAGGGGCAACCGAATGACGGATAGAAGAATTTTAGATCAATTTTATTCGGAATTTTTCAAACTTCGAAACGGCATTTTGTTAGGCATAAACTTGGGCAACTTATTTGCTTTATTCAACCGACCCTGTATATCTCCTACGGTTTACGAGATAACAATGATGAAGTTCGAATTAACACATATTATAGGGCATGCACTCTCAAAAAGTCTATATTTAATTTTTTTTGCGAAATCTCGATACTTTTCATCATGATATTGGAACCAGTTGGAACTTTGGATAGTGCGAGTTCCATCTTAAAATTACGCATACAAGATGTAGAACTTTCGGAGTAGGCAGGTATATGTACTGTATTCAAAAATTAAGTTTCAAAAATTGGATGACCCGTTATAAAATAATGAATTATCGCCACTTGAAGTGGAGCACACTGTAGGTACGTACAACGTACCGTCTATGATTCTTCGATGAACATATTTTCAGTAAGACTTTTGACTTTTCTCATTCAACGAATTTCTTGTCTTCTGCTGCTCGGGAATTTCTCATCAGATTTCAATTATTCTTTAGGTATGTTACTTTCAAACGTTTGATAAGAGGATACCAGAATCGATCAAAGGCAGTGAAGTCACATCAAAATTTCGAGATGAACTTGAACCGACATCCTCGCTATATTCTGCTCTCCTAACACAAGTCTTGCATCTCGTAGAAGGGTAATATGTAATATCAAGCCAGAGATATTTTCTTTCTTATAATTTCTGCTCTTCTAGTATCTCATTTGGGTATTCTGCTAGTCATTATCATTTATAATCATGGATGTTGAAATGCAGATGAATTAATCATTATGCAATCACAGATTTCAAAGTTCTTGGACACTCTACCTTTTCTTGATTCTGCTCCCCAAATATTGAAACCGAGTTAATAAGATGCCATTCTGCAATAGTTTGGCTTCATTAATTTTCCCATGAACCACTTCATCTGTCTGAAGTTCTGTTCTCCTGAAGATACTGGCATAGATCTAAGTTTGCCTCGTACTCCCCTGAGAAATCCTACTTTGCTGGCTCGATATCTGGACAAAAATCTCTTCACTTTTCTGCTCTCCCAATAGAAGAACTGACAGAATCATGTGTTCCGCGGATTTAGGAGATGAGAAATGCTATTTGCAGCAAGCACCACTGGCCTGATGTCTGATCGGGATCATCCTTGATCCTTGATTTCGGTCGTCGAACAAATAGAGAAACGAGAAACCAAGGATCAGGATAGCAGAATCGGTGAAATGCTTCCCTGAATCCGACTAAATCGATTCTCTATATGCAATGGAATGGCATGGCTCTATATATTGTTCTGCAAGATTTATATTGGGCGTTTTTGTGTGTTGTTGAATGTGAAATCCAAATAGGTCCATAATTGACCTAATCCCTATATACAGGGTCGTGATTTACGTAGGCCACGCATATTATATAAGCTCTCCAACTTGCAGTCGCAAATTGAACACTTGAAAATTGATATACTGTTGTAATAATGGGTCATTTATACAAATCTACCCAAAATAATTTTAGTCCTCCAGCTATACAGGGTGATCTAAAGGTCGGCACCAACTTTATTATCTTGAATAGAAACCTACATTTTTCCCATGGTTCGATTGGCCTGCTAGAGTCACTCATGATACTAAAATCATGGTTTTAGTATATCATGAGAGTTACTGGATGGTATTATAGTTAGATAAGGGTTCGGACACAATAATGAAAACCGTTAGTGTTTTTGAATGTTTAGATTTATTCATTAAGTTACACACCTTAGCCGTGGCACTTGGTATCTCCAAGGCATTCGATCGAGTCTGGCATCACGCCAACACGGACTCCTCGCCAAGCTTCCATTTTATGGCTTGCCTCCGCAGCTATGTTCTCTGCTAGCTAGTTTCCTCTCAAACAGGTCTCTCCATGTAGTGGTCGACGGAGTTTCATCTGACTCTCTTATCATAAATGCTGGTGTTCCGCAAGGATCAATTCTAGCACCAACACTATTTCTCCTCCATATTAACGATTTGTTGGAAGCAACTCATGTCCAGTACACATCTTCGCGGATGATAGTACCCTCCATACCACCTTCTCTTCCAGGGCTCCAATACCAGCCAGGCAAATTAGAAACGAACGAGGGAGAAATGTTGACAACATATAAATATGGACTTGGCAACAATTCTCGAATGGGGATCCAATAACTTGGGAGATTTCAATGCAAACAAAACACAAGCATGCGTTTTCTCTAGAAAAGCCGATCCCACTGTGCCCAACATAAGCTTGTCAGGAGTAACCATACCTTTGGAGGCATCCATTTCGATGCTATCAGCAATAAACATTCTTGGAAAAATCACGTGAGATCAATTGCTAAAAGTGCATCCCAATAACTTGGTTTTCTGTTTTGGGCCAGGAGCTATTCCACTTCCAGTCAGCTGCTTATGATCTATAAGGCACAGATTCGACCTGTCCTGGAATAGTGTTCCCATATTTGGAGTGCAGCACCCAAACATACCCTGAAACTGTTGGATTCTGTCCAAAAAAGGGCAATTCGTCTCGTGGGTGATGCCTCGTTCACAAACTCACTCACTTCTCTGGAACACCGTAGATCTGGCTCTATTTTTTAGATATTTTCATAGACGATGCTATTCTGAAATATCAACAATTGTTCCTCCGTTGGCAGTCCCCGCGAGATTAACCCGTCGAGTTTTCGCACCCCTTCGTGGTCACTTTGCATGGAGACCTGCAGAACATCTCTTTCCAAAGACTCGTTCATCCAACGAACAGCAAGGCTCTGGAACACATTGCCAAGGGAGGTGTTTTCCGAGGCATATATAACCTCCAGAAATTTAAGAAGAACACCAATTCCTACCTTATTTCCCTTGGTTCTCACGATGTTCTCTGAACATTACAGGATATCCCTTTTCGTGGGTTTCTTTCGTTACCATCGAGACTATATTCTTTCCATACTCCTTTTCCTACCTTTCGCCGAACCGATGTTCTTACCTGTTTCCTGTTGACCGCGTTTACTTACCTTCATCCTTCCCTATCTAACTTATCAAGAAACTGAATCATTTATCATCTTTCCACTTCAGATGATCATCGTAATAAATTTTGCTATGTAAATGTTTCGAATAATTATGGAATGTTGAAAAAACAACAATATTTCTGATTGCCAATTTTGGCAATGAGATTCTGATATAACACATACCTCTATATATTGATTACGTTATCTTTGACACTGTTGAGATGGAACAACTTATTATCCAATGTGCTGAGCAAACGGACAAATAAAAAAAATGACAGTCTTTTACCGACCGTTCATATCATTTGTGTATGTCTAACACCACCAAGAGAACCTGAAAATAACATTATCAGTTTAGAATTATTATCATTATCATTATTATTTCAAATTCAATTCAATTTCGTCCACGACACTGCAGGGCGTTAATCCACACATACAGATTATGGGGATTTTCACTCCTAGTTTCTATAAAATGAAAATATTAGTATTATTCCAATATATATACGTGTGGTAAGGACAAATCAGCTGTTTCGCCCCTAAATGTCACTGCGTTTAAACATTTTTCTATCAGAAGACCTGAAAGAAAGATTCATTCGATTGTCAGTGACATTTGATATCGAACATGGTTTGGAGAAGAGAAATATAGGCCAAGTATAATATATAAAATTCAGTTCCTGATGAGGGCCTACCTGTTTCCCTATTTGTCTAGTACTCCTTTCTGAACTTATACTGCCAAAAAAAGTTAGGGACTCAACGAATTCCTAGACATTTATCGGTAGCCGGCTCTGGTGTTTTTAGGTACTTTGTTACGTACTGGTTTAATCTATGGTACCGGTTACCGTACTTGCAACTTGATCAGAATTCTGAATCTTGAACCACCCTATATCTGTTCCGATTAAATATTAGTGAATAGTTAATCAAAAGATGAGATAGAGAAATGTGAGCCGTTTTGACCGATAATGAATAGTTTCGACACAGAAATATCCTAAAGTTGAAAAATCTCGATTTTGAACACCCTATATCTCTGTAATCATTTTTGATAGACCCCCAAGTGTGATACATCGATGAAATTAGCTCTCCAGGGAGAATCTAAAAATGTGATAAATTACAGGGTGTTCCATTCGAAATATCAATGTTGCTACTACTTTTTAGTAGAAGCGGCAATACTGCATTCTCGAATATGATATGAAGATAGTGTATAAGCTTGTCGTGACAAACCCTGTATATTAGTAGGTGGCATAATTATTATGCCTATCTACTTCTAAGCGAATGCGATTTTTGATTAGTTTTCAGGTTTTCAGGAATAGGGGTAATTGATGAGGAAGATAAAAATGAAGCAACTAGTGAAATTGTAACAAATTTATAAGGTACCTGATACAAATTCATTACAGAGACAAATAGAGATGTATCAAAAAATAAATATACAATATGTTACATATTTAATACTATACTGAAGACAAAATGGGAAAAAAATCAAAATTGAACTACACATGCAATCATGAGTATATAATATAGGAGGTTATTATAGTTTTCATCTACGAGTGTTCTGGAAATTATAGCGATAAATATAATGAGTCACTACAAAAAAAATAGAACAAAAAAATCAGGTTGATTTCTTTCAAAAAAGAATTTTTTTGGATCATATTGAATTTCAATCTTTGCCTGAAACTTTCAAAAATGTTCATGGGGAATTATTTCATTATATCTCATACAAAACTGCATTTTATCGCTTCAATCTCAGAAACACCCTGTATGTATAATGCAAATTTTTCGAAATAAAATGCCTTAGTCAGCATAGGAACAAGAAAGTGGATGATGAAAACTATAAAACCTATAGGTACACTCGTCTTCAAAGAATATGTCGCGGTTGAATGGTGTCAGCTTTGCTCTAAATCACCGCTAAAATAAGAGCGTTGTTGAATTGAATTTTTTAAGGCTGTTTAATGGTTTCCTTTGATTTGGGCAGTATATTTTTTTGTGTTTGTGCTTACGTTCGTTTCTATTTCACTCTAACTTTTCTGAAATCTTCTACCTACATTTATTGCGGTGGAAAGGATATCCAGAAATTATCTTGGTCTAGACGGTATATTGGTTATGTTGGTAGGCGAGAAGTACATATTTTCGTGATTCTTTTTTTTTGTTATGATATCTCACAGGTGATGTGCCATATACAAGGTGTAATTCAATAGATGGCTACAAATATTGGATATGGTTTCTTAGCTCAGTTTAAGAAAAAAAGTTCATATTTACATATGCTCCAAACCTCTTAACTTTCGAGCTATAGGGTGTTTGAATTTAAAAAAAAACTCGTTTCCTCATCATAACTTCAATACTGTTCTTGATATTTCCATGAAATTCGACATGCATCTACTAAGCACCAATAGGCATTTTTTGATGCAGAAGATTTTTCAATATTTCTACTTGTGGCATCCATATGGGATGTATACTGGAGATTTTTCTAAAAAAAATATTGTACGCCCTTGCTTTCTCCAAAAATAGAAATCAATTTCGAAATCCTCATTTATTTTGCAACAATTTGATTTCTTGATTTTTTTCCGGCCGACGCACCGTTTTCGTGTAAAAAAATAAAAGTAGATTGTTTTATTAGGATCAAAAGTGACACTTTGTTTGACAAGCGAAATTTGCATTTGCGAGGCGGAGCGTTTAGCGAAGCCGAGCGAAAGCGAAATTTGCGAGTCGAACAAAGTTACTTTTGATCCGAATGAAACATGCTAATTTTTCTGCAACCGAAACACCTAACTCAAATAAACATGTGAAGTAACCACCAATGCCGTGCTATATGTATATGCAATGCAACAAATATTGACAAATAATCCATCATTTGGTGAAAATATTCTACCTGCATTAACAGCAGGTTAGGTTTTCTAGGATGTTCGAATTGTAGTTTCGATATGAATACAACCACAGAGTGACATATTTGTGTATGGACCAGGTGCTCTAATGCCAAATACCGCGCCAGTGCAAGCTATAGGTACAAGACGTGGAAAATGTTAGGTTAGTGAGCATATCAACAATGATAATAGTGATTATTTATTCCTCTCCATAATACACTGTGTTTGACTTGATAATCAAATGAAGCTAAACAATATCGTTGTTTGAGCCAAAAAACTATTGCTTGCCGTGATTATATTCAAAAACAAGTTATCCATCCCGAGAATAACGAATGAAATACAGATCAAGCAAGTATTTGAATCTTGAAGGCTTCCCTGATCAAAACAAAAATACTTAACTGAGATGTTTATAATTCCAATACTAAACTATAATAAGGTATATTTATATCTCCAGCATGGGTATGAAATGCCAAAGCTGCTGAAATCGGAAACAAATCAGGTACATGCGTCTCAACCCAAATAACCAACCGTCACAATGTTGTTTATTCTTGACGACGTCCAGTACATCCTTTTTAGTTCCTAGGAGCTAAAGTTCAACTTTAGCTCCTAGGAACTAAAATTCAACTTTAGCTCCTAGAAACTAAATATGCCTAGCAACATACCTATTTTTGTGTCAGTTATAGAAACGTCAATTTAAGAGCTAATTTTGGTATCAAAATGGACGACTTTTGTGTCGGTTGCAGATAAAAACCATTTTCATGCATTTGTATTATGACGAAATTATTTTGAATTAGTAGGTTGATGCCCTATTCTGTATTCGAAATGATGACATTTGATCGATCACGTTACAGTTTAATTTCGACAAGGATTTATGACAGCTCTTTAATTAGGTATATTGTGAAAGTTTCGTTAATCAATAATAAAGACAAAATAAAATTTTAACATTCTATAGCTCGAAAATAAAGAGGTTTAGGGCATTTGTTCATATGAACTTTCCTTCTCAAAATGACCTGAGGAACGAACCATTCTATATGTTTAGCCTTAGCCATCAATTGAATTATACCCTGTATTAGGTAATAGATACATGTTTATAGAGGTGTTTAGAAGCGTGTTTACAATCGGATGCCCCTGTTCGTGGAAGCCACGTAGTTGAGCAACTCTTCGGAATCCTCGCACACGATAGGCTTCTCGTGGTAGCAAGCCACGTCGTGCCATGCAATGCCATCGTTGTAGACGTTGTTGAGGATGGAGAGGCAAGACTCAGTGGTTTGGTTGATGTCGAACTCAGCATTGTCCGGTTGCGCCTGTCAAACACAATAAGTCAATATTTCAGTCTATATAAAATAGTTATTTGTTTTACTAGGCAGAAAAGTACAAGATTTAATGGAAACCAGCCAAGGCATTACATCTTCTTTTCTGCCATGTGAAACATAATTTTTTCTCCAAATTCTTTTCAATTGCACGCAAAGTCCAAATAATCCATCATCTTTTGTTCACCTAAAGTCATGGTCAATTTTGATTACCAATTTGATTCAAATTACTTGGAACGTTGCATCGCAACAAACTTTTTCTGCCTATATATAGGCAGTAAAAGTATACCTACCTTCTCTGCCTGTTAAGTGTCATTAAAAATCCACTTTTGATGTCATTTGGAGAAAATTAGGTATTTATTAAACAAGGGAAAAAAAGTCGTAGATTTCAGGTTGTGAAAACCGTGAGCTAAAATCTAATATTTTTCCCGTGTATAATACACTATTTTTTTCTGTGACAGAAGAAAGAACGACTCAATATTGAAAAGATATATTACATTATTTTGAAATCTGAAGATTATCGACGTGAAATTTTAAGTCTTTAACAGTAGGGACACCTGCCTTGTAGGCATCTTTATCATTCTTTTGAAGTAATCAAATATCTGATGTCACTTCTGTCAGTCTAATTCTGTGATTTGATTTCAAAAAATTGCGAATTTAGTGGTTGTTTAGTGATATACGTATTACGTAACCGCGAAGTCGAATGGAAGATAAAAGGACTTGCAGTTCTTTCTCGGAGACGGTATTATTGACTCATTTTTCGGAACTATAGCACAACAAAGGCCATCAACATCAACACATATGTGATATGTATCCGGGATTTCTTCGTCTTGTAGCCATTGGTTGAAAGTTGACATTCCATGGGCGATGAGTTTTTTTTTTTAATAATAACACAATGGAGTCATTGTGATATCAGATACAGAAATAAAATTGATGACATGCAATGTACCTCATTGATGTATCGAACACAGTAAAACAAGAGCAATCTTGTGTTATAGCCGTAGAAAAAATGCGTTTCCTAACGTGGTACGTACAATATTAGATCTAATTTCGATGAAAAATTTCGATTGAACTGATTGACCATTTCTGATTAGTTCTACCGATAACGTTCAAAATTTAGTAGCCAAGTTGACTTCGCCCGTCACTTTGAAGTTTCCATCCGAAATTCATGAAATAGACTCGTTTGATATCTTCTTCAGTGGAAAATGGCTGATTCAAATTCAGGTTTCCCAAGTGATATCTTGGGAACTCTTGTTCTACTGTGTTCGATACATCAATGCGTTACTTTGTATGTCATCAATGTTATTTCCGTATCTGATATCACAATGACTCCATTGTATTATTATTTAAAGAAAACTCATCTCCCATGGAATGTAAAATTTCAAGCAATGACAGCTCTGTCTCTGTCTAATAGATGAGAGGATTACTTGACAGGAAATCAGATGGCTACAAGACAAAGAAATTGAATATGCCGCTGTTATCTATTATAGCCGTAGGAAACTTATTGTGTATGAATTGCACGGAATGCTAATTTCTAACTCGAATGATCGCAGCATCCGGCCATGGCTCATGCTGCAAACTTCATTCTCGTAGGAAATTACTATCATTTCGTGCTCGTTAAACAATATACTATTCTCCACGTCCATCGGCGACCGTTTGAGCGCTCCTGAATTAGATCAAAGGACTAAATTATGTTACTAGTTCATTTCATTGACATCGGAGAAGTCTCGCCGCCAGCTGGATTCTGTTGGCAACCGTTTGCCGGTGCCATGAGGAGAGGGGCTATGTATGTACCAGGTCAAGCCAATCAGAGGCCAGCATTTGGTTGGAGGCTCCACCCACTTTTTAATGCTTGACGTGGCGGGGCTCATTGGCGGGGCAAACTGACGATTCCGTGACATTGCCGTAGCGTTTCCTTGACATTTCCGTGGCGTTTCCGTGACGATTCCTCGCCATTCAGAATTTGGCGAGACCTCAAACCAATTGCTGGCCTCTGATTTGGCTTGACCTGGTACATACATTGCCCCTCTACTGCCATGATTTATGGTAAAGCAAAAAACGCAATGTTGGATATGGTACCAATAAACAAATCTCAGTAAGTGAGTCATCTTCTGGAATATCTTTGATTGGATGAAGCGAATGAACGATCCTGCTTCTTGTGACGGGTCTGCGACCATCCGTATCCGTCATTGTGATCGCATTCACGTGACGCTGAAGACCGGTCGGTCAAGCCGGTCGGCACCAAAAAAGTATGCTACATGAAGTGAATCAACTAACCTGCTTCTTGTGTCCGGTCTGCGACCACGGGTTGTAGGACCAGCCGGTCGGCACACGGTTGGTCGGCTGCACCTTCTCTCTGTTGGCCGACCAGAACCAGCCGAAGACGTTCTTGGGCTCGAGGTCGGCGCGGTTCTCGCATCCCTTAAAGTCACACAGGCGTCCCGACGTCCAGATGTATGGCACGTCGTCTGCGAAGAGGAAGCATGTTATACATAATATGTGGACGAACTTCGAGAGGTGATAGCAGAGGCGGTTTATCCATAAGGCAAACTAGGCACTTGCCAAGGGACGAGAGTCGTCGTCGATAATCTTGGTACCAATTTCAAACAAATAATATTTTCGTTGACCTCTAAAAAAAAAATCACATTCTACGTTCTAATTTCCGAACGGATAACTGAATATTTCCGAAGGCAAGTACTTTTCGTCCATAGACACAAACTTTTCGTCCGCAAACACTTTTCGTCTGTTTCATGGTTGCCAGCTCTACTGAATTTTCAGTAGATCTCCTTATTTTCATATTGATCTACTGATCTACTGGAACATTTCATAATATACTGAAAAATATTTTGACACTTATTTATTATTATAGTTACCAATATTATTATGAATCTTTAGTTAATCACATGCACCCCCCTCTTATGAATTGCATGATATTTCGGCACGCTCTGTTTGAATTAATTTGACAAAATAATCAATGAATTCACATATCACTAATGCATTTAACCAAAAAAGGACAATACTTCATCTGATTCAGATATAAAATTCAATTTTTTATATACATCTGTTATGACAGTTTGTTTCTTACGTTCAATTTTTATATTTGTTTTGTATATTTGTTGTTTATTTTCACTATTCGTTCCTGTTTTTTAGGTACTCAAATCAAATAAGTCTATATTATACATATAACTGTATTTTGTTATATTTGTGAGTTTTTCCAAATTGAGAATTAGAAATATTATTTTTTTATTAGAAAATTTGTTTTGATTGTTTCAAGTACAAAGTACAAAATTTCTTGGCGTCATAGGTTTATTTCACTATGCTTTCTTGGAATTCGTATAAAATGAAGTATATCAGAATTCTGAATCTTGAACCACTCCGTATCTGTTCCGATTGAATATCAGTGAATAGTGAATCAAAAGTTGACATGTGAGCTGTTTCGACCGATAATGAATAGTTTCGACACAAAAAAATCCTAGAGTTGAAAAATCTCTGTAATCATTTTCGATAGACCCCAAGTGTGATATATCGATGAAATCAACTCTTCAGGGAGAATCTAAAAATGCAATAAAATACAGGGTGTTCTATTTGAAATATCAATGTTCCTACTACTTTCTAGTAGAAGCAGCAACACTGCATTGTCGAAAATATTTTAAATGAAGAAAGCGTATTCTGAAATATAAGCATACAAATTATCACGAATTTCTCCCTACTAATTCTCGATATAAAGATAGTGTAAGCTCATCGTGACATATACCCTGTATAGGTACACGCACAAGCACATTGTATTGAATATCATCTTCTCCAATTTCATTCATTAAAAGGTAATGGAACAGCTGCATCTCTCAATGTGCAAGACTTGTGCAATTCCCCTCAAAATGTCAAATCTTTACAAATTAGCCAATAATCGAAATTAATAATAGGTGATGCGATGATAATTCAATCGAGAGGATTTATTGCAGTAATTGGGAAACAGAGAATTAATTATAATTGCCATCAGCAAAATCATTTCTCAGAGAATTGTAAGAGATAAATCAAAATAGCTGTAGTTACTCCAAGAACACAGTGGCACCAAAATCGAATAAGAGAAGAAAACATTGTTCAAATTGATAAACAGCAAAAGCCTGACTATTCCTATACTTTTTCAGAAAGTCCTATGGAAAATAAATATATCTATTCATTTATCACTCATTAATTTGAGTTTTGAGCAGATTCGTTCCCGATCCCGTTAGATAAGATAAGATGAGGAGAGAAAATCCCAGACAGTATTTTGATGGAAATGGTCTTGTACGATTCACACTGTTGCCATACAATCGACAGTGATGCTCCTAAGGGTACGTATGAAGTCAGTAACAAAGCCTAACCAGACCATACATGGACTGAAAGACCTCTCGTGAGGTCATTAGCCAGTAAAATGAAGTACAAGGGGAACAACTGAGAATGGCTGTCATATCTATCATTCTTCCAACTTTGATTGTTAATACATGTTAATATCTTCCGTTGGAGTTAAGCTATCATGTTACGGTTTTCGTTGGTCTGTTGAGATTTAGTTTCTCTATCACATCGTGTAATGATATGCATACCATTGGTTTCATTCTATCTCAAACTTGTACTATTATTCGTTGCTGAGATATGGCCGACAGCCGTTCTTAGTTGTCCACTCGGTAAATGTACCGGGTGACCAGTTATATTCTGACCCATTTAAAATGCTTATATCTCTGAAACCATTCAAGTTATCGTTGTGCAGTTTGGACTAGTCTATTTTGATATTTTTCAAGTTTTTTCTGACAGGTTCACCTTCTCTCTTGAACTTCCGGTTCTACCGGAAAAAAACTAGCCATTATTCAGGTATAGGGCAACTTTTTTATTTTATTGAATCACCCTGTATATTTTTGCACATTCAGAAAGACTGGTCTTTTCTCTTTCAAACAATATATAACAAACTGTTTGAAACAACTACTGCTACTACTTATGTTTATTCACCCTGCCGTCAATGTGGAAACTTGCTTCATCAGACATTATCAAAGTATTCAGGAAGTGTCTAGTTCTTCTTAATGCGCGAATTTTTCTGCAGAACTTCAACCTTTTTCCAAAATCAGCAGGTTTAATTTCCTGTAGTATCTGAATTTTATATGCCTTCAGTCTTAATTCTTTGGACATAATATTGTGAACTGTACTTTACGGAATACCTGTGATGGCAGAAATTTTTCGTGTAGATAAAGTGGGGTCTTCTTGTATGCGACCCAGGATTTCTATTGCATTGTTGACCCGATTCATATTGTTAGGGGTCCTTTTCTTACGATAAATAGATCCAGTGTTCAAAAAGTAAGCATGCCTTGTTTTTATATAATTTTTCATTGGAGGATCTTTATTGAATATAGTTCTGAATCTTCTTCTTGTAATTTGATAAGATTTGGTTTCGGCAAAAATTGCCACACACTTAGCTTTTTCAGTTAAAGTAAACATTTTTTCAATTCGAAGAAAGTACAAATGCTCCCAATCTTTATTTCACACATCTAATCTGGCATTTCATGTGTTGTGACTAGAATTTCCAAAGGCGACTTTGGTTACATTGCAAAATCTCATTAAACCATTCCACATGCAGTAGTTGTTTCAAACAGTTATAACTCTGATAGTTTTCTAAGAAAACATAACTTGTTATACATTGTTAGAAAGGGAAAAGACCAGTCTTTCTGAATGTGCAAAAATATACAGGGCAATTCTATGGAATAAAAAAGTTGCCCTATACGTGAATAATGGCTAGTTTGTTTCCGGTAGAACCGGAAGTTCAAGAGAGAAGGTGGACCTGTCAAAAAAAACTTGAGAAATATCAAAATAGACTAGTCCAAACTGCACAACGATAACTTGAATGGTTTCAGAGATATAAGCATTTGAGATGGGTCAGAATATAACTGGTCACCCGGTACCTACTACTACCACTTGAAATAGCATAGATACTTACTTTGCTGGATTAGCCTGAAGATCATATTGTTTTCTTCTTGGGTTTCCATGGATACTAGGTCCATGCAGTATTCTCTGCAGATATTCCTGCCGTCTAGCCAGTCAACTTTCCTGCCGGATAGACCAGGAACGCTGCCACTGTAGAAGTAATTGTGGCCTCTGAAGAAGAATTGTTTTGGTCCTGAAAGAACATGCGTTAACATTAAAAATTGAAAACTTTTCAAGGCTAAAGCAATTTATGAATCAATTTGCACGATAAGCACCCTGTATGAGTTACGATATTGAAACTGTTTCTTTCTTAAAAAAATGCTCTCGATACTCTTGGAATTTTATTTTTTGAAGTAGTAGGAGAGGAGGCTATGAAGAACGTAGAAACACACTGTACAATATTATAATTATATAAGATTTTTTTCTGTGTCAGGAAAAAAGTTTGACATTTCATCCCTGTTGACAGGTTATAAAATGTCACTTTTCATTAATTACTTTTTTCCAACAGGAAAAAAGTAAGTATTTTTTTCAGTCATTTCAAGTCATGAATCAGAATAAGGGCATATGTGGTTATCAAATTGTTGATAGTTTAAATGTTATTCAATTTTTCTGAGAAACGCGACCCATTTGAAAATATTCGATAACAAAAATGAGCAACTTTTTTTATAATTGGTTATCTTTGTGAGGTAGTTTTCAAATCTGCCTGGGGCATTCAAAAATCAACTTAAATATTTCATTCAATGACAAAACTTCATCAAAACGACATTTTTCTGAGGTAATTATTATTGGGGAAAGGTGCATCCATGTGGACGCAATTTGTAAAAGAAAAATTCAAAAATTTTACATACTTTTATTATAATGAACCAACACAATTGGATAACCACAAATACGGTTAGTTTGATTGGAAATGACCCCCCTTACCATTCCACTTCCTTTGATCCATGACATGAGTCACAACCTGTATATACACTGTTGATGGTTTTTGATGTGTTAGTTCCGAAAAATAAGCCAATAACACCGTCCCCGAGAAAGAACTGCAAGTCCTTTTATCTTTCATTCCACTTCGCGATTACGTAAATTACTAAACAACCACTAACTTCGTGATTGTTTGAAATCAAATCACAGAATAAAACTTAAGACAGATATTTGATTACTTTGAAATAATAATAAAGACTTCAAAAATATGCCTGCAACGCATCAGGTGTAATTCCTGTAAAAAACTTCAAATTTCACGTCGATAATTATCTGATTTTAATATAATGTAGTATCTTCTCAATATTGATTTGTCCTTTTTCCTGTCACAGAAGAAAACACGGATTTTTGTCTATGACAACACACAACCTTGAGCTAATATTTACTACTTTTTCCCTTGTATAGTGAATGAATGTTTTTTCGAGATTCAGAGATTTATTTCTCAAACTTAAAAGTCCACTTGCTTGTCTGTACTATAAACTATAGCTAGATATAATGATATAAAAAGTTCAATTCAGTAATTATTTCAATGACGCTTGCCTCTATCGGGATCCTGAATTTTACCAGTAAACTCTTTTAGATTATTTCTAATAGGGCTACTTCAAATTCCTATAGGTCATATTAATAGACCAAAAAAGGTACAGTATAAACTAGAACCATCAACACAAATTACTATATCGATAGGAAGTGTTTTAGTTTCAGCAGTAAATTTAAACGCTAAATATAATCATTTTGAGATGTATTGTTTTTATCACCTACTTACTTATTGACTTTTTTCTTCATTATCATCAGTAGCAGAGATATTTATTGTTTCGGTTCACTATTGATCTTCAGATAATATCAAATTCCGCAGAGAGTAGATTAACTCATGCATATATATGATTATGTAATCTGATGTCTCAGTGACGCAGACATTCTGGGAATTAAAATTCAGGTTCAGAAGAAAAAAAAACACGATGTGGTGAAATCTGTGAAAGTAAATACACAAAATTTCCAATACAGTTGCACATGTAAAATATATATCAAGGTATATGCATAATGCAATATTGAAGTGAATCGAACGCTATCACGATTTACCAAGTTGGTGGGCAGATAATATGTATGTTTTTTCTTGAAGACTGTTTTTTTTTCAGGGCCCAACAAATTGAAACACAAGTGATATGTAGTTTGTTTCTTATATGATTTAAGAACGTATCTTGGATATCCTACAATATAAAATTAATTCTAGTAATCTTATTTATCAAAAAATATACATTTAAATGAATTATGCCTCGATAAATATCCAAATTTGAATTGATAATGACTCAATTGAATATTAAATACCTATAAGAGGAGTTCAGTGAACTGACCTTGAAACAATAAGAAATAAGACGGATAGTAATAGTATTATCTTTTTCTGTCAGGATATCGAAAAATTGAGTTACACACTAAATTTCTCCACATTAAATTCAACAGTTCTATACAGGAAAATATTCAGTAAACGAAGATTATTTTGATGAGATATTTAGTACACAAACAATCCCCCTTTTTCCTATGCCAATATCGAAATGATCGGTTGTATATTTTCAAAAAGGTCTGTTCTATAAATTACAATTCATATGCGTTCTTCGAAACATGAAAATGCTTTACATTCATCATGTACATTATTGATATAATTATGAATTTGATCTTATTTTATTACTAAATTTGATGAATATAGCAAGTCCTGAGAATTGAAAAATAATCTGATAGTTGCAGAATATTCGGTATATTTTTTTGCTTGATGCGAACTATTCATTTTTGAATTTTGATGATATATGTCGCCTTTGGGATATTCATTGACATTTAAAACATTCAGACAATTTGCAACATTTCAATATAGTGTATTATAATGATAATAATAATAATAACGTCCTCTTAGCTTATTTTATATACCTAATCATAATAAATCTAATGGATTCTCAATGTTTGTAGTGTAGAAGGTCAAAATTGATATGCCTGTTGGTCTGTTTTCCTTATGAAAGAAGAATTATCAATGTCTGCGTCACTATCAGATTGCATCATATCAGATTCTCACATGGACGTCTTTTTTATACGTCCATGGATTCTCATAATTATTTATAGTATTTTCAGCCAAGAACACGAAATGCTATTTTTGTTACAGGGTTCCTTTAGAGGAGAAGTGAGTTATTTGATTGTGAGTTGTTAATTTCAAATTACCCTGTAAATCTCTATATTCCTTATTGTTCGTAACTCATTTATAATAGGTACCCACGACCCACGATAAAGTGATGAAGAAACACTCCAAGAGCTTAATAAATTACATAATATGACAAGCACAAGGCACAGTATCATGTTGCACACAACAAAAGAGAAGCAGAATCAAGATAAACCTCGGCAGGTCTTGTAAAGAAGTAGCAAAAGAGATCATGGCATTTTTCTCAGGACGATGAAATGAAAAATTACGAGGCAAGACGTCAACTGTTATACAACCTCATGAACTTACATTGCGTGTTACACAATGGTTATGTAGTAGTGTTATAGTGCAATCCAAAGCCCAGGTAAGGCGAGTGGACAATCTTTTTTATTTCTCAAATAGAATCATCATTCAAATACCTTTAAATTTCATATTTTTTAAGAATTTTTTAATCGATTTTTAGGTTCTAAAATCATCAATAATGCCACGGTAATTTTCAAACGGCCAGAAATTTACCGCCAGTAAAAACTGATGCCATCATTTCGTAAGTAAGGGTAGACCGAAACACAGTTGCCATGTGTTGAAATACCATTCCCGGCGAGCACAAAAACATCTCAGAGATGTTAAAAGTACGAGATTTCGAGACATTGAACCTCCACTGCGATGTTCTGTTCACACATGAATAGAACTATTATAGAACAGCCAATGTCCGCCGCAGGAGGCAATTATCGAGATGTCCTTGATATGTACCAAAACTACCTTCTCCCTAGTTCTTTTTAAAGCCTTTTCATGGACACAACAGAACATTTTCAACGCGTCTTGCGCACATAAAATCGCTGTAAAAAAACCATTTTTGAGGTACTTTTCTGAAGCCTTTTGTCAAAATGAACTTTTGCATTAGGATTCCATTTCCCTTGAATGAAAAAATGCATTAAAAATAGATTGAACATAAAAATATTTTCTTGACATGAAATTACCTTCTTAATCGGTTTCTGAGTAGTGCTTACTACACACAGACATATAATCGGATATAGGTTTCCCAATTTTTTAAATGTTCTCCACAATGCATAATTTTGCAACTGCGAAGAAGCTGATGTGTATTGATAAATTCGTACTTTTATATATTGATTACACTGAGGCACCGAACAAAACATCTTGCATCTGATGGTCATTATTACAAACTAAATAAGTCTTCTAACACAATAAACTTCACCAAATTCCTTTCTGTTCGTTAGCAGCGTGATGTAAGCGTGACACGCTGCAAACGCGAATGCCAATTGCGAACAAGAAGAACAAAATCGAAAACAAATAAGAATTCATCGTATTGGTGACGTAAGCATGAGACGTTGTGGTGGGGCAAACAAAGAAAGGGCACAAAAGAACAAAAACAATACTTTCAATATCCTTCTAAGACCTCTTTGGGAAGTGCATATTACGCCTCAAAAAACATCCTCATGCCTACATTTCTAAAACATCCCAAAACATCACAGGGATACCTCTCAGTAGGCAAACAAAGAAATGCCACAGAGGAACAAAAACAATACTTCAATATCCTTCGAAGACCTCTTTGGTCAGTGCATATTACGTTTCAAAATAACATCTTCATGCCAACATTTTCAAAACATCCCAAAACATCCCAGGGATGTTTGTGCTCGCTGGGTTGGGAACTTCAGAACTATTAGTTATTCGATAATTCAAAAAATCTCAATTGAGTATTGGTAATACTCCTAATTAGCAATAAAACTTCAATTGACACAAAATGTTCCCTCATGATTTGTGACTTATTGCTGATAAGTAATAGGTTTGTGTGAATAATAATTATATTAATTCACACTAGAGGACATTTCAATCGGTGAACGTGACGACCACGGCGCACGACGGCGTGGTCTTGTCAGTTATCTGCATTCAGCTCAATGTTGCCAAGTCTCCAACATTCACATGATATTTTGTTATCGAGAATAAGAAATATTTGGACATGCTAGTTGCTCGAAAAAGTCAAGAATGAACTAAAACATCATAGGTTCCTCCTATTATGTTTTATTCAACGGCTGACTCTAACATCTTTTTGATAACTTCATTATATTAATTGGTGACCTGACAAACTTGCTTCATGAGTGGAAATGGAAGATTATCTGACCAATAACGATACAGCATAAGAACTGACGTCACCATTTATACGACGTATCGCCAAATGGCGGCCATGAAGGTTCGTTTGAAATAAACTCTGCAATTCAACAATTTCGAACAACGCATAGTGTCATTATTCACATAAAAAAAGCGTGAGAAGTGCTGCAAAATTTAATATAGGTTCCTTAAGTGGAAGAGCGCGGCTTCTAAAATTGGTTATTTTATATTCAATTGAAGAAGTGCGAACTTTGCCTTTGCTTTGCAGCTACCGCATTTTACGATTTATATATTATATGATTCATATGATGTACCTATATAGTTATATATAAGGGTTGGGCAAAAGTGTGGAACCAGGAGAATATCTCGGTAACCGTTCGTTAGATTTTTTTTAATATATGTACAGGGTGATTTCAAAACGTGGTGGATTTGACTATGATATCGACGATGTTGCCACTTTTTCAGTTATTCCGGAATTATTATCAACTTCCTTATTTTAAATAGAACACCCTGTACTTTATTGAATTCACAGATTCTCCCTGAAAAGCTGATTTCGTCGATTCATCACACTTGGGATCAAGGAAGAATGATTAATGAGAAATAGGGTGTTCAAAATCGAGATTTTTCAACTTGACGATTTTTTTGTGTCGAAACTATTCATTATTGGTCAAAACGGCTTACATGTTCCTACGTCAACTTTTGATTCACTATCTACTGACATTTAATTGAAACAAATACAGAGGGTGGTTCAAGAATCAGAAATCTGATCACCCTGTATCTGTTCCCATTGAATACCAATAGATAGTAGTTCAAAAGTTGAGATGGGGACATGAGAGCCGTTTTGACCGATAATGAATAGTTCTCACACAAAAAAATCCTGAAGTTGTAAAATCTCGAATTTGAATACCCTATATCTCAGTAATCATCCTTGCTAGACCCCAAGTATGATGAATCGATGAAATCAGCTTTTCAGGAAGAATATGAAAATTCAATAAAATACAGGGTGTTCTATTTAAATTAAGGAACTTGATAATAATTCCGGAATAACTGAAAAAGTGGCAACATCGACGATGACATTTTCAAATCCACCACGTTTTGAAATCACCTTCTACATATATTCAAAAAAATCTAACAAACGGTTACCGAGATATTCACCTGGTTCCATACTTTTGCCCAACCCTGTATATTCATTTATTTCCACATATAATGTAAAAAGGTGTTGCAGCAGCAATGAAAGCCATATTATTATTATTATATTAGTCCACTCGCCCATTATACAGACTTTTTCAGAGAAATAAGAGACTTACGTCGACAGTAGATAAAAATCAACGTTCTGAAACTTATGAATATTTCTCAAATAACCAACCTGATAGGGTTTTTTATTGATTCTGCTCATTTCTTCAAAATGTAAGTCTATAACAAATGAACAATCCAGTATATTTTTCTGATGTTTGGTACACATATTCTCCTTTTATTATCCAATCGACTATCTTTTGTGTGATCTAAACACACTGTATATATAAGATCGAGTTTTAGAAATTCGCTTTCCAGTTTCAAGAAATGGTATCAAAAAGTTTATATCTACTACTTCGTCCCATAAAATGGTGGAATGTTATTTTGAAATCTCCAACCACTTCAACAAATCCAAATACTGATGAAAATGTGTACAATAAAATTGATTCATACTTTACATTGATGACATGAATATAAAATTTGAAAAAATTTACTTGAAAGGTCTAAGACACTCAGAAGTTGAAATTCTAGTTTTGATTGAAAACGTGTATCATTGACGAATGAATTGATAACTGAATGTTACTCACTGTTGGCACATTTCTGTGGATTTGGAAGTGCTAAGAACCTTCCTGGTCTATTCGAAACGGGCCTAATTTCGTTTATGGCAGGGTCAGCTAGGACGCATGCGCACGTCGCTAGCACTAGACACGCTATCCTCATCTGAAAAATAATAAATTTAATGAAATTGAATTTCATCTACAATGATCAACAACAGATATATGTTATATTATCACTCTGTGATAGAACATTGCCACTTTGGTGTACATCTACTTCGACAGAAACAAGAACGATGTTGAAAGGTGTCGTCTCCAGACAATACGGGAAACCGTGCACTGAATATTCTAGGACCTATCACCTTTCAGTTTATAATTTCAGTATCTTTCCCACATTTTGTAGACAGTGAAGAAACATTCTTCATGTGACACAAATGAATATTATAATAAACCATCAATAAAACCCTTAGGTACCTTGTGGCATCATAAGTTATTTGGCGCAGTCGGTAGGATCCACGAAAATAGAACAATATAGCCACTCATTTTTGTACTATTATGACTCGAAGCCGATTATTATTAAACTCAACATGTAGTTTGTTGAGACACTGACAACTCACGTGCTCAAAAATCCTAGCAATACGGCAGATCCTTCAAATTTCGCAAAACTATTAAAATTCACTAAAGAAAAGGCCGAAATGGAATTATCAGAAATCGTGCCACATCCACTTAGAATCAAAAGAGGGCTTATTAATGGCTTAGGCTCCATTTTCAAATCAATCTCTGGGAATTTAGATGCAACTGACGGAGAACGTTATGAAAAATTGATCAACAACCTTCAGCTGAACCAAGAAAAATTGGCATCCAATATTAAAATACAAAATTCGTTATCACTTCAAATGATAACGAAATTCAATTCGACTATTTAGCAAATAGAACATAATGAAGAATTTTTGGAGTACAAAATTAATCAAATTGCATCAATTGTTGAGGATAGCGTATTCAGAGAAAATTCAATATTCATCAAAGACATCGGGAACCAAATTATCGATATGTATCAAGTTATAAATTCAGAACTGTCTGTAGGTTAATCGAGGAGGTGGAACATTCATTATTCTAGATTTTTTGGGATTTTCTCTCCTCGTTTCTATAAAATAAAAATATGAATATTATTTCAATATACGTGTAGTGAGGACAAATCAGATGATTTGCCCATAGATGGCACTGCGTTTGAAGAATTTTCCTATCAGAGAGCCTAAAAGAGAACCTCACTAGCTTGTCAGTGACAATTTGTATTTTATTTTCAATTCACCCTCATATTCAATATTTCCTTAAAATGTTTCAAATTGAAAAAAAAATCGACCTGTTTCAGGAGATTTCTCATGAATGGATAGTTTGACTATAATAGTATATTATGTAACAAGTGTTATAAACGTCCTTTTAGTAACGAGACGCGTTACATACTATGATTTTTCTACGAACTCCGAAAATTACATTAACATACCTGCAATGCAATTCCTGCTAACCTACAAAATAATTCGAAAGGCATGGGAATTGAGAACATAATACATGCAACTGCATGCAACCAGCGAGACACGTATAAGTGATATTGGTTGTAGATGTGTCCAGTCCATTGCTCACCAACTTTTTTTTCACGTTTATTGTCATGCTTAGCGCAGAACAAATAAATTGTTCTCAAAGATGGATGCTTCATTTTTACACTTCTTGGAGATATGCAAGTACCAGAACATTCTCTTCGATTTCACTTTCGTCTACTTTTCGCATATATTTTTAATGAAGAATTCTGATACAAACGAATATTGTTTTGAATAATTCTGATACAAAATTCGAAAATAACAGTTGAAAGTTGATACAATTGACAGGCCAGACATGTCTCAAATTACTGAAGCTGTGTTTAATGAACTGCGTTGCCATGGTAATGTGTTTAAGAAATCGTGTTGCCATGGTAACGTGTTTGATATTTTGAATAAATCACAGATCGACAATCCGTGATTAATCGACCATTTAGCGTGGTACATATCCGTACGTTAAATGCCATTTTAGTTATGTGAGTAGAAAAATGAATGTATTAGGTACTTTATGAAAACACTGCCCAAATAATTCGTAACGACTTCTGTGAAAATCCCTTCAAAAATTCGGTTTATGCACTCGGACTAATATATATTCCAACCGCCCGCTGTTTCAAGCACTCATTTCTCATCGTGGTACGAGATAGTATGGTCAGGTTAGGTTCTCAGATTATTTTCTTCGTATGATTTAAAACCAATAAGAACGTTCAAATGAATTGTATAATTTCGAATATACGTGGATATACAGGGTGGTCCAGTTTGTAATACAAAAATTAAACAGTGTATTGTACTCGTTGAAATAATGGTAAAAGTTTATACAAAAATATACTTTTAAACGCGTCGGTTTAGAGATATAGGTTGTTGAAAATACGAGTCTGAATATTGATTTTATGAAAAGTATGAAACGGTTTGAGATAAATCAACAAAATTTCTCACAGATACTATAAGATGAAATGAAAATTATTATATTTTGAAGTACTTATAGTATTACTACTGAATTTTTATATTTCTGCCTAGACAAAAACATTTGAATTAGACCAAGAGTCGTTACGAATCATCTGGGCAGTGCTGTACATATTGTTAGTTATTTTTATATTATGTCTCAATAATCATAATTATTATTTTGATATAAATTTATTCTTATAAAACACTATACCAATATGCAGGAATGGGTTTCATCCAGATATAACTTATAGAACCGTGAAACATTCTCACTTTCACCAAGCTCCTGTACCGTGTCCTCGCATATATTGATCGTCCATATATTTATTTTCCAAGAGATGTGTTATAGCTTTCCCAATAATCAATACCCAGCTCACATTTTTTCTGTACATTTGTTTTATCACGTACATGAATGTTATTCCTTGGACAATGATTATTCACGACAAAAACGAGGGAATTTCGCCAGAATTAATTTTCCAATTTGTATTCGTGATGGCATGCATGGCTACCTCTATTTCAAGTTCATAACTGAAGGTTCTATGATGTCTTCGAATTTTGAGAACATCACTGTATGAATATACAGAGTGTTTGATTCTTTGGTTTCCAAGAAACAATTAAGGTGCGTTCAAGTTTCTAGAAAGAAAAGAAAAAAAAAATCAAATCATAGTAATATTTCACTTGATAAAAATTGTTCAACGACTATTTCATAAATTATGCGCCAATAAAAAAATATTTTTGATTCTATTCCTAAGATGGTCAAAGATACAGCTGAACTAGATCGCTTTCCTAAAGAAGTGAATAATCATACATTCTACATTAATTATAGAAATGAGAGAGGAAATATAAATGTCTCATCATCACTTGCGGACGTTAACATGGGGGTGCCACAAGGATCTATATTGGGCCCTAGGGAGAAAATATGTCACATTATCTATCAATAGGAAATAATACGAGACTTCTACTCCCACCGGCGTAAAAATCATATTAGCGATTTGAGAAATAACATCAGAGAACACCTTTGGATGTGTACACACCAAGTTTATTCTTATGTAGGTTTTTGGGCCTAACGATTGCAAACTAAACGAAATATCAAATGCATTCAAAAGGGCAAAAAGTAAGACAATGAATCAATCAATAATATTAAGATCTTCGTTAGAAAATGTGAACGAAAGATACAGAAATTATTTCATATCGATAACTCTATATACTTTGATCACCCTTTATATTCATAAAATTAGAATATCAGAACTTCTACTATATAGTTGTATCGTTTAGTTTTCCTCCTACCTTCATGTATCTCAACTTCATGACCAAAATAAGCCCCAAAAGTTGTATCGATCAGTATCCTTTTACCGTGGTTATTTTTTTTTTTTTCGTTCAACTTTCCCCAAATACGAGTATGTCTCACGATCATTTATAACATAATTTGGTCACAGAAACTAAACGGATTTCTCTTGGGGCCATAGAGAATTAATGACTTGTTTTAATAAGGCGTTGGCAGGACTTTCTTAAAGAAAATAGCCTACGGTCACTCATTTCATCTCCTTTGTCCAATTTCATTAGTAAAATGATTCTATTGATATATGGTAAGATAAGATTGACGAATACTTGAGGTTATTATTTTATCGAAATCAGATTCTTTGTCGGTTATGATCATCGTGAATATCATTAATGGTAGTCATTCTATGTGCATACAAGTAGGTATATGGCAATTATTTTAATATTTTTATTCATATACAAGGTGAGTCATGACTAACCAGCCATACACTAATGGCGGATAGAGAAAGTCAGTTGATATATTTTTGAAAAAAATATATTCTGCCTATTCCTAACAGAAATACAGGGCATTACTTGAATTCGGGGCGAAACTTTAATGAGCGATATTTCAGGAACGTCTTAATGTTTTCGCCAGCAATTAACCTCTACTGACACACCACACGATGGCCTACTATGGAAGACAAAGTCCAGAGCCAGACTTGGAAAACTTATTTTCTTTTTAAATGTCAAAATTTCGACTTATTGAATCGTATTTTCCAAAAACTTCCATCAGAATCAGAAAGATTAGGAAAAACAATACTAGTGTAGCTTTTTTATTTGTACGGCACACTTCGACCGAATTGGTGAAAAAATATCAAACAAAATTCAGACGAATATTTCTTCGATTTCGTCCGGGCCATTACTCTCTACATTTTACTAAGAGTATTCGAAGCAGTTTTTTGCATATTGATTTAGCAGCAGACTTGAGAAATAGTTATTTATTATACAAGGGAAAAAAGTAGTAGATTTTCGGTCCAGGTTGTGTTGTCTCCCGACGCGTAGCGGAGGGAGACAACAAACCGTGAGCTAAAATCTAATATTTTTCCCGTGTATAATACACTATTTTTTTCTGTGACAGAAGAAAGGACGAATGAATATTGAGAAGATATAACATTATTTTGAAATCAGAAAATTATCGACGTGAAATTTTAAGTTTTTAACAGTAGGGACACCGCGTTGTAGGCATCTTTATCATTCATTTGAAGTAATCAAATATCTGATGTCACTTCTGTCAGTCTAATTTCGTGATTTGATTTCAAGAAATTGCGAATGCAGTGGTTATTTAGCAATATACGTAACCGCGAAGTCGAATAGAAGATAAAAGGACTTGCAGTTCTTTCTCGGAGACGGTATTATTGACTCATTTTTCGGAACAATAGCACAACAAAAGCCATCAACAGTGTATATATATGTGATATATATCCGGGAAAAAAGTACTCACTTTTTTCCCACGTGAAAAAAGTAATTTATGAAAAGTGACATTTTATAACCTGCCAACAGGGATGAAATGCCAAACTTTTTTGCCGTCACAGAAAAAAAGTATTATTGAAGTAAAATCAGGACCGGACTTGGTTTTTAGGAAGAATTACAAAACGGTAGTTCTCTTATGTTTTTTAGAATGATATGCCTATTATATTTGATCATATCTGAATCTGTATACAGGGTGAGTCAAAACTATTGGGACATAGGCTGAGGGCGAATTGTTTGGACCAAAGTATGGCGATAGGACCAAACATGCCTTGATAAAATATTGCTGTGGAAAAAGATACAGGGCGTTGAAGTTGATTCTTTCTCGTTTTTTGTTAATAATTCCACTGTTTATTGAATTGATTTGAAAAAAAAATTGTGACTTGGTTGCCTTATGCCGGGATATCACAATTCAGACCTTCTGACTGCATCCCGCATTTCTCCATTCGTAAAATGATTGTGAAGAGGCATTTCAATCGAAAAAATTCTGACTATAAATTCGCACCAAAATTCATTCTCTGATGAGAAATGCCATCACCAGCAACATTATCTGACAGTTCAAAGCCTACTCTTCATGAATCAAATAATATTAATAATAATAATTGAATAATAATAAATAATAATATTACCTTCCGAGACTCTGAACTGTTCAATTACGTTTCTTTTCGAAAACGGATGAAAATATCGTGTTCAAATAAGAGTATCAATAATACGTGAAAATGATGTCTAGGTCAGGTTTTCTAATCAAAATCACCAAAACGTTCCTTCAAAAAAAGTTACCAGTCTATTTCATCATGAGGAATCATTCACATGGCAGCCCCTGTAACAAAATTCAGAATAATACATAAAATAATATTCCCTGTATTAAATTAGGCCACTGTGCCAATTTTGATGACAATTGATAAATATACAGTGAAATTATTGGCAAAAAAACGAAACTAAAAAGTCAACTTCAACACCCTGTATCTTTTTCCACAGCAATATTTTGTTCAAGCATCAAGGTCTTATTGCCTTATTTTGTTCCGAACAATCTGCCCTTAGTCTATGTCCCAATAGTTATGACTCACCCTGTATATCCATTTTCTCAGTTCCTCTCTGGTGTTGACTTCTGTCTGAATATATCTGATTCGGAAAGAATATGTTACCTATGAGCAATAATTTTTAATATTTTGTTTATCTCTTGGAGCGCACGAAAGGAAATTCCTATAATGTTCGGAGAACATCGTGCGTACTTATAGGGATGATAGGGAGAAGAGGTCCGTATTGGATTTTTTTCAATTAGGTTCCTACTTATTTCCATGTTTTGAAGGTCCTTTCAAGAAAAGTGAGTCCGGTCCTGGAATTTTTCATCGAATATAGCCTCTTTACAACTTTTATAATGCACTGATATGCAAGAAATGGATTCTAACGAATTTGTTGAACGATGTGACTACAATAGTCAGAACGAAATCATGGAATCGTTCATCAGTATATTTTGTTCGATATTTTTGCACCAATCCTGTGGAAGTTTTGCCGAACGAATTGAAATGCTACACTTCCAGTGTTTCTCCTGATCTTCCTGATTCTGATGAGTTTTTGAAAAATACGATTCAGAAAGTCGAAATATTGACATTTATAAAGAACAAGTCCGGCTCTGTAATTTGTTTTCCATAGTATGCCACCGTGTGGTGTGTCATATTAGAGGTGAAATGCTGGTGAATTTCAGGTGATAATATCGGGACGTTCCTGAAATATCGTTCATTGCAGTTTCGCCCCGAATTCAAATAATGCCCTGTATTTCTGTTTTCACATATATATCCACTCACCTTGACTTCCTCAATCTAACATTAGGCTATGACTGGTTAGTCATGACTCACCCTGTATAGGAGAAATTTTCGAAAATTCTTCTTTTACCTAGTACATACAAACACATAATAGGTAATTTTGAAAATTTTCCAAGGCAAATGGAAATATTTTCCGAATGATTGTTTCTCCTATACAATTTCCGGGATCCCTATGCTGATGGTGTAACTTATCTTGGTCACACTGTATGTGTTCACTATTATTTCTATCCAAATCCATTTCATTTCTTTTTCAATAGGTTTCATATCATCTTCAGTGAAGTTTATGATTAATTCAGTTAAAATCTTAGAATGAATAAATTAAATAAATACAACCTATGCCTACATCTGAAACATTGCGTCAAAGACTTTTATATACCTATTTAATGGCTTGATATACAGTTAATAGAATATTTTTTATCGTCACTCAGTGTTGGTGTATATTGAGTAGGTACTATTTATAAAAGTGCATTAAGTGCATTTTTATCATTAGTCAAGTACAAGTTAGTGTTTTCTCCAGTATACTGTCATTTAAAACTCATTTCGAAATATTTTTGAGATTGCTTGGATTAATGTGAAACAGTAATACTCTGTTAATTAATTATACGTATAGTAATTATCGTGCTGATTATATGAGGTGGATATTGAGTCATCTCAACTCTCAGTGTGCCTGAGACAAGTACTTTGGTTCAGTACCTAGATTTTCATGAAGATGTAATAGTGATATACTGGCTGTTTATCATCTTCTGTATCAAGTTGTGTTTTTAATTCTGCCCCCAAAGAGTGATACCTAATAGAAATTAAATTGAGTTCTCACACAGCTTATTATGAAACTTCAACCAATCACTCTCGATTAATGAACGTCGTTCACCTATACAAACGTATTCCTAGCTAGACCATTATATAATATTTTGGTGGTTATTTTTGAACTGTGACCACTTGACACCATAACACAAATTCCAGTCAGGGCATGCGAGAGCTTATTCAAGTATTTATTCACCACTAAGAATGAAACAACCATTGCATAACTTTGCATCTGATGAGATAGGTAGACGACCATTGTTGGCATTGTTGTGATAAAAATTCTTTCCTTCGTAGTATACGTAGATACCTACTGGGATGAGAAAATATAACAAAGTTTTTTGTAAATTGTAGAAATCATTTATACTCTATAAGTGGACTAATGTATTTTAAAAAGAAAAACACAAATTTCAAAGTCAGTCGACCACACTTTATATAAAAGAAGATTAAAAAACAGTGACCGGTTTCGGCACAACAGCCATCATCAGACTGTGCAGTACCTAAAATACATTATGAATGTGGAAATTGAAATTGTCACTATGAAACAAAAGCTCACAATAGTCACATTAAAACCATCAGAAAAGAGATTTTACGAAATCAAAAACGTCATTAGGCCAAGAAGTCAGGTAAATGAAATATTTCTTTTAAGACGGCTGACAAATCTGGCCCTAATCAAGTTGAACATCGAAAAAAAAACTATGTTTCTTGTCTAAATTCAAAAAGTCACATGTTGACTGGAGAAAATTGATTCAAAGAATGAAAAAACAAACATGCCTGTCATGTCAATTGTCTTTTATAAAAAGTGTGGTCGACTGACTTTGAAATTTCTGTTTTTCTTTTCAAAGTTTTTTGTTACAATAAAATATTCTTCTTCGAATGCCAATTTTGTTTCTCTAAATTCTGACTTTTTCTTTGAATCAATATTCTACCTTTGACTGCAAAAATGTTTTATAAACTTCATTTTCAAAATATTACAAGGGGAACTTTGTCGCACTTATTCACTAGCACCTTGTATATCAGAGAAAAATCTCAATTCAGAAAAAGTATCAAATCAATTCTACATTTTTCCATCGCTTAGTTTGAAATTAGTTCATTTTCTTGATTCGAAATTGAAATACTTTTTGTACTTATTAAGATCTGATGGACAGTTATTCGTTGAAAGTATTTGAATGTATTCAAATCTTTCAGCAAAGATTTCGAAAAATTGAGAAGCAACCTCAAATTTGTAAAAAGCTAGACAATATATATTCTTGTTATTAGTATCTAATTTTTTTGGCATCACATCCAAAATGCAGTAAATTTTTCACGTCCGAAAAGTTTCTTCTTTTCTGGTTTGATGCTTTAGATTTAGATATAACTCCTAATAACAAGAAAAAATTGAAAGAGACTTCAATATCCGATGATACGGCTCATGCTATTATATTCGAACAAGAATTTCGAGTGAAATCAGAATATTTAATGCATATGGCGTATCTGACATACCAATAAAATATTCATTTTACAAATCCACAAAATCACGAGCTATTTATACACACTCTCTGTATATTTATGTTATTTGCAGTTCTTTTGTATTTCTGTTGATATACCTCAGATCGGAGGACTTATATCATAGGTCAGATAGTATCAGATGAATGTTTGTTCTAGCTACACGCCCTCAAAATATCCAAAGAAACGCAGAAATCCAAAGAGACTTCAACGTCCGATGAGGCCACAAACCGTCCGCATGAAAAAAGCTGGGCACTACTTACCGTTGGAAATCCGACAGATCGAACTAGAAAGCGATTATAAACACACCCACACACATACAGAACACTCAGTATATGCTCTTACCTTGTGCTCACTCTTAACTACACACGAAATCGAAATCTCGTCTGCGAGAGCGAGAGTCTTCATTTATACTGTAAGATGTGCATGTTTCTACGGGGGGATCTCTCTCTTGACTTTCGGCGGTCTGTGTTGTAGTGACCCTGCAACGTTTTCAAAGGCTGTCAAAATTTTTGACCAACAACTTGTTACGAATCGAGTACCGACTACGATGAAAATCTTCCATTTTCATCATGCCAGGATGTTCAATTTTCTTCAATCGCCGCTATTCTTTGGTGCTGGGGACTAATTAGAAAAATGTTGGATTGAGTCAACAATCAAGGCAGATATGAAGAATGTTTTCACCCTATGGTCTATTCTTATGAAGAGTCGGATAGCAACCCCATCATGAGAATGTCAACAGATGGCATTATTCCAAAATATACAGCTTTGATAAAACTTTTAATTTTTTTTATGTTCTGGTTCCCACGAAAAGGGATATCCTGTAATGTTCAGAGAACATCGTGAGAACCCAGAAAAATAAGGTGGGAATTGGTGTTCTTCTTAAATTTCTGAAGGTTGTATGCCTCAGGGAACACCTCCCTTGGCAATGTCTTCCGGAGCCTCGCTGTCTTCAAAAAGAGATATTCTGCAGGTCTCCAAAGTGACCACGAAGGGGTGCGAAGCCTCAACTCGACGGGTTAATCTCGCGGGGACTACCAAAGGAGAAACAATGGTTGATATTCCAGAAGAGCATCGTCCATGAAAATATTTATGAAATAGAGTCAGATCGCCAACTTTTCTACGGTGTTTCAGAGAAGTGAGTGAGTTTGTGAGCGAGACGAATTGCCCTTTTCTGGACAGAATCCAACACTTTCAGGGTATGTTTGTGTGCTGCACTCCAAATATGGAAACAGTATTCCAGGACAGGTCGGATCTCTGTCTTATAGATCATAAGCAGCTGACTGGAAGTGAAAAAGCTCCTGGCCCGAAACAGAAAACCAAGTTTTTGGGATGCACTTTCAGCAATTGATCTCACGTGATTTTACCAAGAAAGGTTATTGCTGATAGTAATACCAAGCATCGAAATGGATGACTTCAAAAGTATGGTTACTCCTGACAAGCTTAGGTTGGGCACAGTAAGATCGGCTTTTCTAGAAAAAAGGCATGCTTGTGTTTTGTTTGCATTGAAATAATGATGGAAGTAAAATATGGTGTGCGTATTCGGCATTATTACGTATTGAAAATTTCAGAAAAATCACTCGACCGGCCTACTATGATTTCTCTACGTCACAACGAGCGAGACGTTGATTCTACATTTTCCCGCTAGATGGTGATGCTGCTATTGCTGCTGTGACGAGTGAAAATAAAATGGCAAATGGCAATTTAGGTACGCGGAACATATGTAACAGTGGGATTATTAAACAACTCTGAATTCGAAAAATCTGCGACAATTTCAAAACTGGTAGAAGTCATAATTGTGCAATGTCGCCATCTATTAGAAGATCAACGGAACCATTGCTCTGGCTGCTCTCGAAAGGTCGAGTAAAATTTCTGAAACTAAAGCGCATCAGTAATAACACCATATATTACTTCCATCATTATTGAAATCTATCAAGTTATTGGATCCCCATTCGAGAATTGTTGCCAAGTCCACATTCATATTGTCAACATTCCTCCCTCGTTCGTTTCTGATTTGGCTGGCTGGTATTGGAGCCCTGGAAGAGAAGGCGGTATGGAGGGTACTATATCATTCGCAAAGCTGTGTACCTACTGGACATGAAGTAGAACAAATCGTATATACACAATAGTTTTTTTCAATCATAATAATGATGAAAGCCAACTACTTATAGGTGATATATTTGTGTATCTACCCATTTTACATACCTAAAATTAGCAAATCATGTGTATGTAACTACCTATACAGCGTGTCTCCCTTTAAATGACCATCCTCCGGCCTCCATATCTCAGTTATTAGTCGTGCAATTCATACCAAATTTGGAGCGGTATGAATAACTATCAACTTGATCAGTTTATCAGAGACTAACATCATTTAGAACAGTGCCGTGCGTTTTGATTGATATATAAAGGCGTCGATTTTTCATGAAATCATATTAGGCATTTTTTCAGGAATACAAACTCATATTATTGTTCCTCAAATTTCAGAACCAACATATTCAAAAATCACCTCATTCCGAATTAACAGAATTGGCTCAATTTTTTTCATTTTCTGTCTCGAGAAAATAGTGAATTCAAATTAGGTGCAAATTCTGGGGAGTTCAATTACTCTGGTAGGTAGAAAATTATAGTTTGAAATGGAAAACAGGATATACTTTTTTTGTTGAGTAAATAAATTATTCCTCCAAAAAAATGCTGTATGAATGTGCTTGTTTGTTTGGAAACCTTCATAGAAATCATCTGAAAAATTGCATATGCACCATAATATGTTCTAATATTCTATGTATCTATTTGATAATGTTTCAATCCAAATTATTTCAATGTTACACAGTATAGGTATAAACAATATGACTTGTCCAACACCCTTATAATTGTGGTATTCAATGGATTAATAATGTTTCTATCTCTATGGAGGTTTGATGATTATTAGGTAAGAATCGCACGACTAATAGCTGAGATATAGGGGGCGGGTCCGTTTCAAGTGAGACACGCTGTATATACAAATTCCAATTCAAAATATCGTATGTTATAGGTATGATCAGATATAACTTCTCCCACTTTCGTTCAATATCATCTTCTTCAAGAATTTTAAAAACTAGTTATGAGTATTTGTGTTTCCAACAAACGCAATGACTCATGAATTTCAAATTAGTTTTCAGAAACCGGATGCTTGACGAGTTCAACAAATTTACTCTTCTCCTTTATTATACTCGGTCATATTTCAACTACAACATCAAATATTGCCTTGAATATTATTCGTTTTCAGTTACCTACTTATACATAGTTCCATCAACAAAAATAACTACTATACTGTACTTAAACATTAAACATCAATTATTTTATGAAATGTATGTATCAGCTGACTGATTCGCTCGATTAACAGATAGCGAGGAACATATTTTTTTCTGTTTTATGGAAATGAGAAAATAACTATGTTCCTAACCAATACCAGAGATGAGGGTAACTTATCTCTGCCAATACCGGCCGATGATTGGATTATACTGTCGATTATTGGAAATACCTAATTGAAAAAAATTAAATATTTAATTCCAATAACTAATATTTCACAGAATGAAATAATAAATCTAATTCTGAGAAAATATATTATCTATAACATTTACCTTTCCTTGTTCATGAAAAAAACATTTGTAAATGAGTGAACATATATAATCAGGTCCGAAAATGAGAAAAATAAGTTGATGATGATCCTGCGAATACGAGACGTCGCATAGAATAAATATCACCACGTAAAATCTTATGAAAAGTTGCTATGGGAGAGCATTCTCAGTATTCCTGCATCTCCAATGATAACGTAGAAAAAAATAAAATAGATTTTCCAGAAATTCACTTTTTTCGATATAACTGAAAATCTTTAAATGATTTCGAAAAATTTTGAAGGCTATTGGAATGATCCTCTGAATGTGCAACTTTCTTTCCATTAAACCGAATTCGTATCTTCTATACAGGGGAATGGGAAATCCCTGAATTACAGATAGAAAACACAAAGATAATGGGATTTAGCCCAATATGCCTGATGAGAATGTTGCTGGTTTAGGAGATACAGGATGTTCTAGGAAGAAATTTTATTTCAAAATTTCACAATAACTTTGTTAGTTTTGACAGCATGAACATGAAATCTTGTATTTTCATTTTTTCTGACATGAAAAATATGAATTTGCAACTTATTTTGTGATTGCTCATAGAGTGGCACTCTCTTACTTCGATATTTATATTTATCAATTCATTGATGATCAGAATAAGTGGAAAATCTGAAAGCTCGTTCAATTTCACATGAAAAATGTACTCTTTATCAAATTGTCTAACTCCAACGGTTTTCATGTTATTCGCTCTTGAAGAAATTTAGTTCCAATTATAACATTTTAATAATTTTATTTATTAAATTAAGAATTGGAAATCCCTGAACTACAGATAGTAAACACCCAAATATAAAGATTTGGCCCGACATGCCTCATAAAAATATTGCTGGTTTAAGAGATACAGGGTGGTAAAGAAGAAGATTTTAGTTCACAATATCTCCCAAATCAGCAACATTCTCATCACGCAAATTGAAGCGTAGTCTACCGGAGTGCACCTATTGGCAATGGAATCGGAAAGCTGCCTTTGAGCGCCGATATCTCAAAAACTATCTGTCCTATCGGGCTGATCATGGTCTCATTCGATTCAGCGTGTCATTTTCTACTGGGAAAGCAATAAACCGCGTGAATTTTCGCCGTTTTCTGGCACTTTTTGCCGTCCGAAGATAGCTCGGTGACGATATCGTACTGAAGTCTCAGGTGGGGAAATGAAAATTTTTATTTGGCCTATTAAAAATCTGAAGAAATTCACATAGACTAATTCGATGTCGAAATGGAAGAATCTGTGGTGAAAATTTGTGAATTTTGGATAATTGAGAAGTAGTAGCCTACCGGAGTGCACTCATAGGCAATGAAAGCGGAAAGCTGCCTTTGAGCGCCGATATCTCAAAAATTATCTGTCCTATCGGGCTGATCATGGTCTCATTCGATTGATTCAGCGTGTCATTTTCTACTGGAAAGGTAATGATTCGCGTGAATTACCGCCGTCTTCTGGTACTTTCGGCCGTCCGAAGATAGCTCGGTGACTATATCGTACTGAAGTCTCCGGTGGGGAAATGAAAATTTGTATTCGGCTTATTAAAAATCTGAAAAAATTCACATAGACTAATTCGATATTGAAATGAATGAATCTGTGGTGGGAATCAGGAAATTTTGAAAAATGGAGACGATGTAGCCTACCGGAGTGTGTGTTGTGTGTTGTGTTCACTATCTGCAGTTTAGAGATTTCCCATTCTTAATGAATCACCCTGTTTAGCGTTCTCGAGATCCCCATACTGTGGAACTTTATCATGGTCACACTGTATAAAATGTAAAAGATATCCTCGTGTTTGTGTCATATGGAAGATGATCTATTGGCTAA